CCGCCGGGTGGACCCTGGTCTCCTTGGTCTCCCTTCGTCCCATCACGACCAGGGTTGCCAGGAAGACCGTTGTTGCCAGGGAAACCGTTGTTGCCAGGGATACCGGCTGGACCTTGAGGCCCTGTGACGCAACTGCCACAACACTGTATAAAAATTAAGAGGACAAAATGAATTCAATTCAATTCATCTCCAAGCAGATATTTTGGGTGGTGTTGCTGCAAGCTGCAATACAGTATCAATTTGGCAAGATGATATCAAATTAGCAGGGCAATATCCAACTCGTTTTGCTGCTAAAAAAAGATACCGGTACACAAAAGAAAGCCTGATAAATATACCTGTAACATGTAAAAAATAAGCCAAAGCCTAAACCACTGCTTGGAGAGTAAACACAATACAGCGTTCAACCATATAGACATGCCACCCGAATAAATACACTTTAAGTCACTGCTAACACAACACCGTTAATAAGTTATGACCCGTGTCACCTGAGTGTATATGAATATACTTATAAAATTCACTTGGCGTACTATAATATCGGGCATTTTCAGCTTATCTTCCTAACGCATTCTTAGCTTCAACAGAAGAGAAAGTTTCAAAACGCTGTAGACATGTTCAACCCGATTTATTCCATCGTAGGTTCGATGTTTTTCAACGCCCATTGCAACCTTACGCCACCCGGAAATAAAACTTGACATAAATATCTGTTGCGCGTGTACTGGAGTATCGTATTACAAAATGTAGACAGAAGTCGTAGCAGCAAAAGTAGCCTGAAAGTTCTGATGATAACGCAGAGAAAAGTGAAATGGCTCACCTAGAATTTAGATTACGATTTAGAGGCGCATTGTTTTTGGTGACGTGCAGATTTACTAGTACTGTACACCAGCAAGAAGCGCTTCTTTCGCTTTTTCATTGTCTAATTGATCAATTAAATACAGGAAAACAAGTACAGCCCAGTCATATTGTCTTACGATCGCAAACTGACGACATTCCTGTGAGAGTTGTGCTTGTCATTAAACGCTGTCTTAGATATAGACATTTTTTACTGTGCCACAGTCTGCTTGGAAATCCTACCGAATCAAAAATCTGTGATCGCGCCAAGAACATTAGCTACTAACCTGCCCAGTCCCGACGACGTCCTGCCCCTGGCTTTTCTGCGTCAACACCGTCAGAACGAGCACAGAAACTGCAAACCACAGTTTGGACACCATATCTGCTTTTCCTCCGTAGTACTAGTAACGCGGCCACAAAGTTTGGACTAGCGACGGACTTAGTTTATGTAATACACTTAGTTACCACGGTTATGTCACAACACGTCCTGGCACATGACTTTTTTTCTTTACTTTCTGTCACACTTTTACAACAGATGCCATATGAACGCCAGGGTAGTAAGTTACTAATTGAATTTCCAAGCAGATGTTGGTAAGGAAACGTGTGAGAAGTTACTAACAATTAACCACCCAACATCTGCTTGGAGATTGCCGTTTGAATGTTGATGGTGGTTGGAATTATAATGGTGCGAGGACCTTTTTTGTTTCATTTTTTTTCCATTTCGAAGGCTATAAAACATCAACAGAATTAATGACATAACGATGTGTTAACAAAGCGTCTCTCACGATGTGTTGATGTGTCGTCTGACTGTGACGTCATCATCACTGATTAGGCGGGAGATTCAAAATGGCGACGCCGGCAGAAGGTATGTTTTTCACTGTCTTTTCCATGCGATATTTTGACTGTAAAGAACCGAGCCTATTCACTCTATCGCACTCGACAACAACAGTATGAATCAGTGCTTCCTTTTGTGAGCTAAACTTACGATATACTGAGGTAAATTTACTGTGGAGAGTGGGCAAGACCTACGGAGCACCACCCCCCTCCCACATACATACTACTGTGTATCTCTATCGTTATAGTGAATGAAAAGATACGAAAGTACCATACATGGGAGTTGCCCAGTTTAAAGTTGAGTCAGTTAACTGCACTACAGACTACAGAACATATACCCCAATTTGTTGGGGTATATGTTAATACTGTAAGACCAAGACTTTGTATGTCATTTTTCACGTTAAATTTTATTGCTATGCCCAGAAGTATGCAAAAATTATGAAGCTAACGTTACATGTTGTTGTTTACATTTGAAGGCGTTCTAGCTTTAAACAATTCTTCAAGCACATTCGAGTTGCTTGTTGGATTTCATACCAACACAAGTCAAAACTCAAGGCAACATGGGATAAGAATTAGTACTAGGAAGATGTGTTGACTGACACCAAGCTCTAAACTAGTACATTGTACCCTGTTGCTTGCATTCTGTTGCAGAGAGACCCACCATTCGAAGGTTTGAGGGGAAGCTAAACAGCATTACCACTGTCTCTCTGTGAGACATACTATCAGGACATTATGTGTGAGTATGCTATATCATGGAGTCTCATTCAGATCATAGAGCCCTGCATTGCTTTACTACATATATTGGTTAATTACTATCAACTACCATGAACTACTACATAATCAGTGTATGCCAGCAGGCCCTCTACAGCTAGCACTATTCAAGTTTACTTGCCACTGCATTGCTTTACTACATGTTGCAGTACATTCCTATCAACTACCATTCACTACATGTACTACATGATCAGTGCATGCCTCTACAGTACTATTCAAGTTTACTACATGCTAAGAAAGGATACTTCTACTTTCTGAAGCACTTGCAGACTAAAGTTCCAGCTCTATTGCTGTCTGCTATTCTAACATCTACAGTATCTACCTACGTAGTACATTGTGAACATGATTTCTTGGTTAGATATATTGAGTAATCATTTTAACAACGTTACGGTATTGTTTACTTTATTTTGCTATTAAGATTTTCTGTTTGCCTCTACTTTGATGTAGAAATAGGGGTAGAAGACTAGCCCGAGGACGATGAAAAAGAAAAAAAAAACTAGAAAAAGCAACTGCATAAATTTTCCCTCACACGGTCTAGCTTAGCAAACTACTGCACTGCTTATTTATATATTTGCGATGACTATCTCCTGTACTCTGCCATCACTCTAATCCAACACTACAGGGTGCCTGCTATAGCACCAGTTATCAGATCATTGATCTTATTCGGTCAGGAAAGAAACCGATTAAAACAATGTATGTTTTCTTGCTGCGAATTAAAAATAAAAATCCTCAAAGCTCGTCGTCGCGTGCAGACGGACCAGCGGACGCCTGTTGTAGCTTCCACGGGCGGAAGGCGTTGGTGACGCCGCTTAGAGCTCCCTCCAGGCTCGGGAAGTGGCGCAGGAGCACGGAGGACATCGTCGCCTGCTCCACCCAGTCTAACCCTTCCTGGGTGTACGTAGCGCTGTGTGGGAGAAAATTTGAAAAACAAAATCAATATTTTCCAGACAACAGGCTGTTAATCTTTTCAATCACTTTATCTGGAGTTAACTTTAATCGAATATGTTTAAGAGATGAGTTAGGGACATTTATCCAGTCACTTTTACACAAAATAAAGCTACTTTATATGGTTAAATTGCAAAATACCACGGCCTTATTAAAGACTTCAAGATAGGAACTGTAGGCCAAGAGTACACTACGTATTTCTGACATCTTTACATTTTTCTACGTTCTTTGAACTCTGTTCAGATACTTAGGAGTGTTAAGAGATCTCTTGTAAGCTACGATTACGCGACAGACACATAACAGCTCGCTAATAGAAGCATCTGTATCTGCACATGTAGCTTCGAGCATGCTACCCTACCTGTTGTAGTAGTCGGTGTAGAAGCGATCAGCCCGGAGACGCCGGGTGGCCATGAGGATGAAGAGTCGGAAGGCCGTGTCACTGAATCCGAACCCGGTGGGGCGAGGGCTCTCTGCGCTGCACCCCACCAATAGATCAACCTATAAAGAAGATGTGAGTGTTTGGGGAGGGGGTAAAAATGAGTTACATGACGTTGTATGTAGACCACACAATGATATTTGGTTATCATAACTTTGAAACAGTGTATGCTACATGTAAACTATTTTTTTACTATCTCAATAGAAGACTAGTTACTTGTTTAATTTCTAATCAATTTATGGATATATTAATCATCTTCTAGCCTACATCTTGGAAGCAACAATTGTCTGGCTGCCGTGTTTTTTATTTTCTCTACAGAGTTTCATTTAGTGTCATTCAGTCAAAAACAGGCAGCTAGAAAAGCTTACGAATCAATCTTTGAATATGGCATTAAATACAACCTGTTGTAACGTTAAGCAAGGTGCGCGGTGTGTACTCACCATTTCAACGTCTCCGTTGTACATGGTGCTCAACTCATCGGCAACCTTTGGGTCGTCGGTAATGTCCTGGAAGGTCTCCGCGGGGGCCATGTTGAGGTGACGCCGAAGCTCGTTGTAGCGCGGTACGCCCCTTTCCCGATCCCTCAGCACATCCACAGTCGCCATGTCAACAAACTCCGAGTTCTGCGATTCAGGAAGCTGCAGATCTCGGATGGAGTTCGGGAAGTTGTGGAGAACAAGAGCGCCCGGGTTCTCCACACCAAAGGTGTAGAAAAGCTTCTCCATGCCCTGCTTCTTAACAACATTAAAAGCGTCGCTGAAGAGAGTATCTTTCAACGGGTAGGTCTCGCCGGTACGTTTTTTGGTCGCCACGTCTTGCATGTGGATGACATCTGGTAGAATAGAGTGCATGCGATAAACGGCTGTGAACTCCTCCGTCAGGGAGTACGGGACGCCATGTAGTTCCTTTTTCGAACCGGGTATTCCATCCAGAATATAGCTTGAAGGCAGAAAAGGTTTCAGAAAGTCTCCAAGAGCACCCAGTTGACCCAAAAATCCTACCCAGTTTGTGTTCATGCCCACGTGTAAGATGTCGTTGTACAGGAGAGCTGTGGTCCACTCCACGGTGTGCAGCTTCGCCATCACAGCAGCGTTGATGAGCCGAGCTTTGTCGAAGAGTTCTTGGTCGGTCATCTTCGGGTACTTCGCCTTTAGCATATCACAGATCGCGTTGTGTTCTCGCGTGAACAGGTTGTGTAGCATGCTGAGCCCCACCCACCAGTTGCTCGAGAATCCCGTCTTTTCCACGCCCGTGTTTTCGTCTAGAGGGATCATGCCGCTGGCTGTGACTTTCAGCTTGCCGTCTTTCATCTCTCGTAGTGCCAGCTGGGTGTCCAAATCGCTGCCGTACAGTTGTGAACCGTCCCACCAGTGGGTGTTGTGGTTGCGGAAGGTTTTCGGGCGGTCGGTCTGTGTTTGAGTCGGGTCAGAAACCGTTCGAAAAACCTTCAGTGTTTCAACCCCGCGATTCCGTAACTCGTCATCTTCGGGCAAGGGGACGTGGATTGGGTTCTCTCTCTGGTTCAGGCCGTGATCGAACCAGTCGTGCGTTTGAAACTGTAGCCAAGCCGCCGCCAGCAGGTTGATAGAAGTAGCGGGGATGAACTTTCCTCTCTTGAACAGCTTGTTGGAGATGACTCTCGGATTCGGTTTCAGGAGGTTCTTCTCGTCCACGAAGGTTTTCTCTATGGGTGCGTTCCTACCGAAGCGGTACAAGCGCATGCCCATGGTCGGGTCGTCCAGGTCGTTACAGCTACCGTCGGCGGTTCGCGCATGTAGGGTCGAGTCGGGACAGGACAGAGGAGGCTTGTTGTCCTCTGCCGTGTACGTGTCGTGTAGGGCATTGTTGTCCAAAACCGTCCGCTGATACGCAAGGTACACTATGGCAATCAACACTGGTAACTGATACCAGGTGAAAGACACCATTGTTTTGGTTGGTAGTATTTTTTTTTTTACAAATGCCGTCTGAAATATGAAAATATGAATCATATACGTAAGCTCAAACCAATAATCTTCTGTTAAGTTCCTACAAGGCAAAGCTATCCTAACAGATTTAACAATGTTGAAAACTTAAGTGTAAAACTTAAGATTGGAAAGTTCATAGTACTAGTATGCTATGAATGCAAAACGAGGTTCGGCCCACCTGAGGCAATGTTGCCTGAGGCAATGTCTGCCCTGCATGTACATACAATGACCTTATAAAGGTGTGGCATCGAACGGGAGGGGGGTGTATTATTGGGAAAACGTCCACACATGTAACTCCCAACTTGCACTCGAAGTTCAATTATCAATAACGAATATATGAAGTTCTGAAGCCTTAAACATGTTTCACGTGCAGTAATTAAGTATGGCACTGTAAAAACATAACATCACTGCCATTTGGACCCTGGCATGTTGGTCAGGTCAGGGTAGGTCAGGGTCTGTACACAAGGTGACTACTAGTCATTCAAACTTTTAGTGTACAAACCGCAGCATTTAGTGTACAAAATGGTTCATCTTTTGGATGCAAATTACAACTGTGTTTAAAGCACATATCACCATGTCCAAAATCAACTGAACCCTTGTGGGGTCGTGTGGCGTAACGGCAGATTGGACCTGTTGGTTCCGAGTCCTGACATGACGCCGATTGTGTGCCCTTTTCTCGCGACTTTTCTCACTTCGCTCAGGTGAAAATGAATATAAGCTGAACAATCTTGAGTGTGTCCCCATCACGTCTTGTGATTACATGTTGGAATGTAAAAAATCAACTGAACTCACCTATATTTCTTGACTTGTGTTGAAGAATCAAAAAGCCTACTCCTAGATCCTGTGGACACCTGTACATGCATGTATAGCACGAAGAGGCTTGGTACGAGTAGACGCTGTCAAACCGGTTATACCGAACAATACCATGCATACAAAGTACAGACACCTCAATTAAGAAAGGCTTAACCTTGTTATTATTCAGCGGCGGAGCCTAAAATCTGGCCAAGAATTTATAAAAGCAGGCTTAAGTTAGGTATGGGTAAAATCCATGTGTTGACAGTCCCAGTCTGAGTGTTTTAACAGGATCTGTCAGTGTATCTGTGTGGTCACATATTTGTCACGTATCTGTAGTTAGCATGAGTTAAGAGGGTCTGAATGGATTGTGACATGTGATATCATTATAACCATAGCGGTTTTCCTTGGTACTACAATAGAACTCCCCGTTTGTGTATCTTTGGCATGGACATTCTATGGTCTTGATACTGTGGTGCGTGGCAGATACTAGTAGTCGGAAAAAGCGGCATATGTTCTGGAAGTGCAGGGGCGTTTTTGTTAAATATTTCGAAGATGATATAAGTCAAGAAAGGAACAACGGATTTTCATGATTTGGGACAAGCTGGTAGATTATAGATCTAGCTAATCTAATTTGTGGGTTGGACTTTTTTCTCATACAAAAAATTGTGCGTAAAAGTATTCTCTCTTTTTTTTTTACAACAACGTTTGCCTATTGTAGTTTGGGGACATACCGAGGCACAGTTACATGTATACTTCGACAAACTATGACAATAATGGTTTATTGTAACACCCTGTACATTACAACAGTAAGGTATAAGATAAAATTGTGAATATGATTTTGCTTTGATTGGAATGAGGTTTGAATGTAGTGTATAGATTAGACGACTATTACAATAATCTTACAAAGAGTGCACATTTTAATTCATCGCCATCGGGTTTAACGTTAACATATCTGTGGATGCCCGACAATAGTCTGACATTGCAGGTAAATGTACGCCATATAAAAGTTTAATAATTTTAAACTGCTAGCTGTGGATACAGGGTCTTCAAACATTTTGAAACGAATGCAGATACAAGAAATTTAAGTATACTTCACAAGGTTTATTACAATTTCATAAGGGTGAAGTTTTACGTACAAACACCGTATAGTTTTACATAACTATTTACATTTTGGCCAAGTCGAGTCAGTAGCGTTGGTGGTGAAACCTTGGCTCGTAGACAGCTGGCCGGGGCATCTTGAAGTGCTGCATAAAGTAAATGTACATGTCAGCTACCACAATGATCAGAGAGCCAGTTAATGGAGATTTGTGATGTCTTTAGTCACACATTGGTAGAATACGAAAATAATGCTGGTGTGTTACGCCTAGGGGCTGTTATACCAGCTATACAGATACAGATGCAATGGCAATGGTAGTAACAACTATGGACCTAGCAGGCTAGCACTGCTTCTCTGAAGATTTTAAAACGTTAAAACGTTTTCCGTACCATTTTGCTCTGGAGTTGTTTTTGAGGTGCAACAAAGATAAGAAGACATTGTATGCAAACAATTTTTCATGAACAAAAACCCATACCTTTCCGACGTGTGAGTTGCCTATGTTCAGGGTTGGGTTCCATTTGTACCCAGGCTTGACTGCTCCAGGCGCGTATGGGAACATCGGCTTCTTGTACGAAGAGCTGAGAAAAATAACAGAATCATTTAAAAGTCACTTGCAGCTCCATTAGCAAGAAATGGACTCCCTTTAGTAAGAAAGTGACTTGCGGCTACTTAAGCAATTAGGACTGCTCCTGCTGTCTAGAGTTTTTCTCAACATTGTCCGCTTTGAACTAAAGCCTCAAGCATTTCCGTATATGCACCATTTTCAAGGATAATAGAAAATGTGATGTTCTTACTTAAACCACAGTCGGGAGGACCCAGGGTACCAGTTGTGTCGGAACAAGGAGTCGGGATCGGACCATGTGGACTCGGTATCCATGTCAGACCTGTACCAATATACATAACAGTTTAGTTTCTATGTTACTGGGCGGTAAGGTACTCATGCATTGAAGTGCAACTGGAAAAACATTTAATTTTAGAGTGCTGAAACACTACATCAATAGGTAACGTTGAATCTCGTTATATGAAGATCAAGAAATCGGTTTAGCTCCCACTGGTGTATTTCTATTGTGTGTAACATGCTGGAATAATGTAGTGGACGCTAGTAAAGAGAGGATCACGCGTACCCAAAAGACCAGTTATCTTGGTCCATCTTCCGCTTTTTCTTGTCCGACTTCTTCTTCTTGACTGGTTTCGTCTTGACGAGCGGAGGCTCCTCGGCGTCCGGCTTGCGTTTGGGCCGGCAGCATTGCAGACAGAGACAGAGGGACAGGACGAAGATGGTGAGCCCGATGATCCCTGCCGCCCCTCCCCCGGCCATCAGGACCCACAGATGCGGGATGTACAGCTGGCACCGCTCCCCGTTATACCAGCCGATCGGATCCGCTTCGCATCTAGGGATAGGGATTGGAAGTGTTTATCTTTAAACTAGCGTGGTGTAATGGTCAGCTTGAAACCAAGAGGTTCCGGGTTCGATCCCATGACATGCACCAATGTTTTTCCCTTGGGCCTGGCATGGTGCAATGGTCAGAGAGTTCAGCTTGGAAGCATGAGGTCCTGGGTTCGATCCCCAGACATGCACCGATGTTGTACGATACACGAATTTCCTCACTTCACTCAGGTGAAAATCCGCCACTTTTCTTCAGCATTTTAACTAAAATTTTAGTGACGCTTAAGAAGAGTGACGAAAAGACGTCAACAACAAAGGGGGCAATTCACCTCGGAATGTTTCTAGATAGAGCCTTGGGGACTATTTTTGACGTTTGTAAAGTTTCGGACTTTCTGCCAATAGCTATTGCTTGGTGGCCTTACCTGCAAGATGGCAAAGAGCCGTTCTGATGAATGCAAAGTGCATTGTTCAGGCAATACTTCTGAAGACACTCAGAAAGGCAGTAGAACTCTTCCCCATCCCTCTTGCAGCTGTAACCGGGACTGCAGTCGAAGTATTTGCACGGGTTTCTGTGCTTCAGAACTAACTCCAATGCACTGTCGCTAATCTCTGGAAAAACAATAACAACATTTTTGTTCATAAGTACAATAGAAATATCAATTCAGACAGTCTGGGGGTACATGTAATAGGGCCTGAACATATATACAGATGGGTACCAACTAAGTCATTAGACCAATGTCTTCTTCCATATATCAAAGTTTGTTTTCGTTGTCCCCATGCCCTTGGCGTACCTGTGTGGCTTGGGTACGTCACATCCGTTCCCAGAATGCTCCTGGTTCCGTCCACGATGAGTTCTCCCTCCCGTACAGTCCCAGGCAGCCCGGTCATGTCCAGCACGTTACAGTACCCGCCTGCCGACATCAGCTGGGTGTAGTTATACCTCACTCTGTAGTCTACTACCACGTGGGGACGGACATAGTTGCCTTCCCTAGAACCCAAGTATTAACGGGGCAATATGTCAATCCCCATTAGTTTTGACTTTTCAGACTATAAAGAGCAAAATATAGTAAATCATGTGGTTATGTGTACATTGTGTCATATTTTATTATCCTATGGCAATAGGTTTTAATCCCATGTCAGTAGCTATCTTATCAAATGGAATCTAGAGTGTCAAGTGGACTTTTGCACAAAGAACTCTAAGATGCTGTAAGAACGTGCCACTCAGAGATCTTAGAGCAAAAATGTTCTGTAATTTCCATACCTTAAATTGACGACCTCAAGATTCTGAAACCCAGTGTTCTTGGGCTTTGCGTAGTATGGCTCAACCTGCAAAGGAAATTTACAAAAAATTTACAAATTTAAAAATTAACAAAATATCTTCATTTCTAAGTGAAGTCAGACAAAACAACAGTTAACGGACATAGGCCTGGAATTCATCGAATTCTGAAAACACAAATGCACACTGATTTCGAAAAAAAAAGACTTATTTTTACAAAGGATGGTACGGTCTACCGTTGCCTTGAAGGCGTCGGCAAAATGCAAGTGTTGTTCTGAAGTCCTGTTCCCCAGACGGGGGTCCCACTGCCGGATGAACTGGATAGTGGAGTGGGCGTATACCTTTAGGTCTCCAGGGAACCTATAATAGGCTGGGCCGGATAGGAATCGTTATAGAAGACCTTTATGCACGACAATCGTACATGGTAATACATGGCAACAATTATTGAACATAGATAAAACAAACAAAATAGAGGTATAGAATAAAACATCCTAATTAAAATCTCTGCATTAATTAATTAAAGGTAACAGCTAGAGTGTCTTCAAAGTACGATTTCACAAATGTATTTCTTAAAACACAGTCAGCAAAAACTGAAACACTTTGTTATTTCGGCTTTGTTATTTCAAAAAAACGGCATGACATAAGAAACCATGAAATGTACTTACCGACCGTGATTTCCGTCCGTTCCACGTCAACAAGACTGTCTAGTTAAGCAGAATAACACAGTTATCACGCAGGTAATACATCAGTCATATACATATCAGTATGGCATGTCTAACCGGCTAAACAAAAGGAGACATCCTTCTCAGTTTCCATCACCATGTCCCGCAGGAGTTGTGCGTGTTGGTGCGGTTTTCATGTAACAATGGACGAGGTCAAAACATGGGAATGGATCAATGGGGCCAATGTACCTGATATCAAGTCTGGTAACAAAACATAGATGAATATACTGATATAGACTACTGTACCTACATAATGGAAGTAGTTTACTAACCTGAAACGATTTTAACTCTGTACTATTGCTTCTATACAAAACAATGGCCATCCTCGCAATTTAGTCTAGTCTATGAAAGTTTGAGTCAGACATTGAGGTAGAACATTACATGAAATATATTCTGAGTCACTGATAAAAGGTTGTGGATGCTATCTGCATTATGTCATTCTAGTTACATCGTTTACCATCATTGTCTTGGATGCACACCCCAGAATCATCAATTTAACACAACTCACCTATTTTCTTTGGTTGGGAAGGTTTCTTCTGTCCAGGGACTGTATCGATGACTGTAGTCCCATTCTCCAGGTTTGGGACCGAATCCGTGCTCCTCGTGTAGGCTTTTGGTGAAGCCGTGGAAACACCAATACTATCACTACTTGGTACTACCATGGTGGGTGTAGTTTGTGGTACAGTTGTGGTTGCTTTGGTGGAGGCAGAAGTTGAAGCAGTATGCATGGTGCTTTTGCCGGTGTTCACCGTTAGTTTTGACGTAGTGGGCATAGAATTTTCCCTTATAGTAGAAGCAGTTGTTGGTGGAATTTTACTTGTATCATGAGTAGATTGCGTTATGCTATCTGTTGTGGCAGAAGCAGGTGTCAATTTAGCTGTTATAACAGGAGTGGCTCTATTTGTTTGCTGCGTTTTATCTATTATAGTAGCAGAAGTCATCTTAGCAGATGAAGAAGAATAATTTGGGGTCATTTTAGCTGTGGTAGCAGATTCTGAAGCAATCTGCGTCATTTTAGGCGTTGTAGTAGATTCTGAAGCAATCTGCATTATTTTAGGCGTTGCAGCAGATTCTGAAGCAACCTGCGTCATTTTAGGCGTTGTAGCAGATTCTGAAGCAATCTGCGTCATTTTAGGCGTTGTAGCAGATTCTGAAGCAATCTGCGTCATTTTAGGCATTGTAGCAGATTCTGAAGCAATCTGCGTTACTTTAGGCGTTGTAGCAGATTCTGAAGCATTTTGCGTCATTTTAGCCGTACCAGATGTTGTTTGTGTCAATTTAGCCGTTGTTACAGTTTCCTGTAGCATTGTAGATGTTGTGGCAGAGTCAGTGGTTTGTTGCGACTTAGCAGTTGTAGCAGAAGTTGTTCGCATCAGATTAGCCGTTGAGGGAGAAGTGCCTTTCGTCATAGCATTAGCTGTAGAAGAAATACTTGTTTGTGTCGTCTTAATCGTTGTTGTAGAAGCAATTGCATGCGTCACTGTGATGTTTTGAAGCTCAGTATTTAAAGGGCTAACAGTGGTCTCAACGGTGCCAGCATGCTTGCTAGTATATCCGTAGGTAGATGCAATATTCTTAGCCTGTATCAAAGTATTACCTGGAGTTGACGTCAAGTCCTTTGTTGTAATTTTAGTAGATGCCATACCTGAAGACATAGATTTGGTAATAGTACTTGTAGTCGCAGGGTTCATTGTAGATGCCTCTGGTGTTGTCGACATTGCCTTTGAGTGTGTTACAGAACCATCGCTAGTTGATGATGTTGTTACTCCTGGTAATATCGTAGTCCTTCCCATTAGAACAGTTGCAGCTGCTGTTGATGTTTTCATGTTTACTACTGTAGGTGCCGTAGGCGTTGGTGTAGTTCCTGTCTGTTGGGTCTTGTTGTCCGTAGCTGTAAGGGCCGCTGTAGTCATAGCGTTTGATGAAGGCTTGTTCATCGCACTTGTCGCCACCACAGTAGACACCGTGGCTTGAGGTGAAGACTGGGCAGAAACGTTGCTCACCAAATCTGAACATAGATCAGTATTGTTAGTTCACAAACTTAAGTACATATCTCTGAAGTATCAAGTATTCTGCTACCATCTGTACCAGTTGATGCAGCTGCAAATGCTTTAAACGTTATTACTTTTATGTAGAACCGATGTCAGTTCCATCCAAATCTACATGACAAATGTCTGGATTGCCATACTTACCTTTGTTACACGACAACTTTTTTTCACATTACTCAAAGAAAGCATCTTACGATATGGTTTTATTTATCGTGATGAACACTAAAATGTGAAAATCACTTACCTCCAGACAACACGGCGACGCCCAAGAGAACAACCATGACAGATTGACCTCCCATGACGATGACATTAACGCACACAAATGACTTCCCCAGCACGAATGGTCGATACCCGCCTCAAATGGCAGTGAAAACGCAGAGGTTATGTCTGTGTCTCTCCTGATTACGATACTGTTTTACTGTTCCTCGTTAATTTCGTGATTCGGGTTGATCGGCTTGTAACTAAGACGCGCTGGTTGATAGCATGCATTGCTATGGCATTTGCTACCCATGGGAGATTCCTTTTGAATATGCTCAGGGATCGTTTCTTTAGTTGATAGATGTTTCATGCACAGTATCAGGAAAAAGATAACGAAACGATGAAATATCGACTACGAGAATGCTTTAAGCTACAAAGCGTGTAGACTCTAGTAGATAAATCTGTCCTTCAGTGCTACATTCAATTAGCCATGTGTAGTAAAAGTTGAATCAAAGTCGGCATCTATTGATCTGGTTTTTTGTTCTTTGTTGCATCTCGCACGAAACCGATTGTTTTCTGCGTATCACACGGTCCTCAGAGATTGGTACCGTTTCATCAAAGGTGACTGCGCATATTTTAGTAACCCGTTTGGAAGGTTAGGGGGAAATGTTGGTTGATTAATTTATTCATCACGTAGTTAGGTTGCGATAGAAACATTGAAAATACGCCCTTGTCATGCACAACTACGTCACCTCTGTCCTTGGTGCTGATTGGGTAGTCTGACTGTGTTGTCAGTTGGTTCGTCTATACATTTTCTCTGCCCTTGGTGCTGATTGGTCAATCTTACGGTTTTAGTTGATTAGTCCATACATTTCTCTGCCCTTGGTGCTAGTTTGGCAATCAGACATTACATGTATGAAGTCAACATTTCACCAGAAGTAAACGTACAAACATAGGATCGTCTAAATCAGAGTAGGTTAAATAGCTGCATACGTTGTATCCCACATCTTTCTCGTGTTCCCTTCCTATCCATTTTTAAAATAATTTAAGTCCAGGAACTCACAGGACATAGATAATTTTCTTTGGCCTCAGGAAGACTTTTATGTTGCGTAACACCTGTATCCCATGACTTGTCTTCGCCCACATGGACTTTGTGAATAAATGATAAGCCTTGACACAATGATACATGACTAACTGATGTCGTGATCCGATCATTGTGCAACATGCGTGACTCAGGAACACCGGACAATACAGGACCTGCTGACAATGGTTACACCTGATGTTATACAGTTGACGTGATGACCATGACAGTTGCATTGATCACTACATGTGGGACCAGATGAGTGGCACTGGTACCATGGTGTTGTCGTCCCGCTAAAGTCACAAATATGTTTACCATCCTTTGTAGCTCTTTTAATGTTATACACTTAAGCTTATTGCTCTTAGTTCTTTTCAACGAAGGCCTTATGGCATTTGGCCTAGTTCAGAAATGTCTAGCTTGGCGAATGTTCATATGTGTTGGTAGTGTTATCATTATGTCGATGGCCGTTAGAAACTTATTTGGACTCACTTTTAATTTATCATGTATTCATTATTTATATAACTGATCATGAATAAGGATAGACTAAGGAAGGTAAACAAATGGTAGAGTATCATCATTGCTGTAGTTCACTTTGATCTGTATGAAATCATCAGTGATTACAATATGTAGGAATAGCCTAGTGTAAGATGCCTTGAATGTACTCATTATGTACATGGGTAGCCATGAAAAGGTAGCTCCATATGGTATAGTATCATTATTGGTTGTGCATTACTGTAGTTTCTGTATACATTCGGCAGCAGTGTACTGGAACTAAGCAACGAGGTCTGGCCTGGTGTGACTTATGATTTACATCCACATTTGTCCGGCTCTTCCACATAAATCATTAATTGACAACAGGCTGTATCACAAAAGCCGGTCCATTTTCTTGTCGTAAAACGGGTCACGCAAGTATAGCAAAAGTGTCAACGTATATATACAATTCTCTTTATTGATATGCCTGCTTTCTGAAACATAGAACAGACGATGTCATTTTTCGTCCTTGGTAACCGCTTATTAATATTTATTAGTCTGGAAAACATCTAACACGATATGCTGAACTAGAGAGAAGAAAACAGTAAATACTAAAACGCTTAACCTTCCAATACTAAACTATTACAAAGTTTATATCATACACATACATACATATACATATCTGTGGCAGGTTATGTACACATGTTTCCGTTTGCTATAGATACATATAATAGTAAGAGGATAAGAGGTAACATGTCTTTTGCTTCATTATAGTCAATTTAGGAACATTCGTATGATTTTTTAAACTCGTTATTATAGGAAAAAAGGAGTGCCTAGGATGTTGGTTACTATAAGATGACAGTGTGTTTAACCAATGAGAATCAGAACTGCATAAAATGTCATTGAATCTACATTACGGGGTGGATAACTAGTCTCGGATAGCCTTTCAGCACCAAGGAGATGTTGAATATTATTGGATGCTTCTCTTCTCATGTCTATTTCTGTCCTTTCGATATATACATTGTGTGCTATGAATAGTATAATACATAACGTTACTTTCAGAATATTTTCAAATGCTAGATATAGATATGGTCTATAACTATATAAATCACATCATTGCTTTAGGTAGGCAGCATTTTACGTCTTATATCAACGAAACGAGTGACATTAAAATTGCAGACAGTAGATAGCCAAGGAGTGTATCACAACAAGTGTTTAACGTTTTCCTAACGCATGCACAGACCGTGCGTACGATGCCTCGGGTGCTATTCTAACAGGAAGGAGGTAGGGACTGTCTTTCCTTTTCTTAAAGATGATACAGGCCAGGAGAAAGGCCTGTACACCTACAGCAACGAGGACGGCGGCGACGTGTGAGATGTAGTAATCACACCTCTCCCCAGTGTACCAGCCGCCTGAGTTAGAGTCACATCTACACGGCAAACAAACACATAGTCGTATTAGCTCAAAACCGTTAAAGCAATGACTATAATTATTCTTCTTATTATAAGATAGAAGACAAAAATGAGATTCAAAGAAAATCTCTGAGGTGCTAGCAACAGCATTGTAGGACGTTTCTATACACCTCTGGGGGAGTATGTAAGATATGAATTGCATCACACAGCTAATACTAGTACATAGTAGATTTAAAAAAAGAACTACTAACAAACGCACCATAACCAACATCTAGCACACAGAGAGACGACTTTGGTGTGATAGATGTCGGTTAGCTTGGGTAATGAATCCACTCTACTATATGCTACTAACAAACACAGTTATCACGTAAACAATAATCATAATACAGAGATCAAGTAACTGCGAATTAGAACAATCAAAACTACTTTTGTAAAGAAATTGAAACTTGTTCCTAACAAGACTCGATTGTAACTTACTTGCAAGTTGGACGACCTTCCAGCAAGTGAGTGCAGAATCCTCTGGTCAGACAATAGTTGACCAGGCACCGTGAGATACAGGAGAACTTGGTAGTCTCGCCCTCCTGATGACAGCTGAAGCCACTGTCACACTCGTAGTACTGGCACGGGTTGTCGTACTGGACTAGCTGGTCTAATGCCTCCTTATCAACGACTGCAATACAAGAGGCAGTTTTGTCATGAAATTTTATCTGTGTTCGTAGTTACATGTTAAAGTTAAAACTGTTGATCCAAGAGATTCTCACCTAGAGCTTTCGACCAGTCACTCTGGTCTTCTTCAATAGCTGAACGGCCATGTCGCCATTGTTGCTCTGAGTATGTAGTTTATGCACTCTGTCTAAATTTGACTGCCCGCAAAAATGTTAGAGAAAATACTGAGATATTGTCAGACTGTTCTTTGCCCTATAATCGTTTGGGGCTTACGTAGACAATAGTAGGGATTTTAAGAAACTCTTTATCTATTTAACTGTGCTAATATATTACGACAGGAAAGGGCATGTCAACTATTCCATCGACTTACTTTACATATAGTTGGCCCAGGAAAGAATCCCTTCCATGCAGTATGATCATGAAGTAGTGGATATTAAAAAAGACGGCTACATTATTTGTCCATACGTACCGGCTTGGCTAGTGAAGATGAGGTCCGTGTTGCCTACAGGATGGAACCCGTCCACGTCCAGACTTCCATCCCTGACCGCAGCAGGGATGCCGGTCCTACGGAGAACCTTCTCCACCCCGCCCGACGTCATGAGCTGGTTATACCCGTACTGTACCGTGTAGGCTACAGACGTGTATTCTTCTGTACTACTGTCTGAAGTTTGTACCGTCATGGAGCTATGTTACAAGCAGAGTAGGAATACTTTTAGTGAGAATACAGGGTACATACTATTAGGTATCTTTGGATCATTCCGATAGGCCAAGTATCAAATGTTGCGCAAAGTATTTAATTATAATATTTTCTCTTAGGTCTTGTTGTGAGATATTTCATACACAGGTATTTTAGTTGGAGGATTATGTCTTTGTAAGTCTAAAGCATGATTGATTTGATGATTAAGACGGTCAATTTGATAGCAGTAGTTAAGACCATCTTAACACACATTTTTCTATTCAATGATTACAGTGGGAACGCAAGTTAGTTATGTTAAACTAGGTAAGCCAACAAACTTACTTCAACTGATCGACAACTAAACTGTCAAATCCACTGTTTCTGACGGACTCGAAGTGGGCAAGCATCTATGAAATGAAAAGAAATATGTCAGAAATTGACTTGAATCGAGACATTAGTCACTGGTCAAAAATCGTACGGCAACCAGTAGCTATGTACAGTGTTTTTGAGACAATAATTTGAGGTTAAGATGGAATCTTACCGTCATGTCAAAGGCCCCTGTGAACGTTTTGTACTCTCTGGACCAGGCTCTGGTCAGATCTCGATGCCATGGTTTGTCGAACACGATTATCGATGAGATTGATACCATGATCGCTGATGGTACTAGATCTGGAACTGGACACAACGAGGCAAAACAAACATCATGTATGACAGTAGGAGATTGGAAAAACTGAAGAATCAAGATTTCATGATATTAAATGACAAGAAAACCAGCGTACACCTTAGCACTTAGGCACAAAATTGTATATTTTGTCATGCTTAAACAAATTGATGAACGTCTACTATACTATACATGTGGTAGATGAGCTACCAGTTTGAAGAATGGGTGCCTAGATTAGTTTGCCTCGAAACAATTTTACAGTATTGTGCTTTTATGTTTGAGACTTTACCTAGGTAGGCAGTCCTCGGTGGAGCTTCCACTAGATAAGCTGTGAAAACCATGAAAAATATTGTTAGCCTCTGACGTTTATTTCTGTATATCTATAATGGGTTTTGTGTCATGGTCGAAATTGTTTTATGATTTCAGTATCTAACTTGTTTATTAGAACATGATTCAATTATTGGTCATAGCAGCTTTGGAGCCCAGGGAAAATATTGACGTAGCCGCTTTAAACTTACGTGGTGCAGGTGTAGTTGTCGTCGTAACTATTGTAGTGTTAGAGGTGACTTTGGGATGCGCTGTCTTCTTCTTCGTTGTCACCTTTACCGTTGTCACTCGTGCTGGTGTTGGCGGCGGCGGCGGTGGAGTTGTCGGTACTGTAGTTGTAGGTTTAGTAGTTGTAGTTGCTGCCGGCGTCGTTGGTGCAACTGTTGGCGCTGCAGTGGTGGCCTTGGTTGTTGTACCCATCGTAGAAGCGGCTAGAGTGGTAACTTGAGCCGTACTTAGAACAGGCTGCGCCTGAGCTGTTGTAGTCTGTATGGGTGTGGAAGAGGGTAAGGATGTGCTAGGGGGAAGGGTTAGTGACTGGGAGAGGGTAAAAAGTGTCGGCTGTGCAGATGCAGTGGTGGTTTCAATGGGCTGTCCTTGTATAGGTGTGTTCGTTACAGGGGCTGAAGACATTACCTTTGCGCTGGTGGATTTTGTTGACGTGGGTTGTGTCACCTGTGCTACACCAGAAACGGATGTGCTGTGTATCGTCTCTGTGACAGAAGCAGCCAATGTTGTAGATGGAGTTGTAATTCCCATTTGTTCTTCTTGAGATTGTGTTCTAATGGATGTAGTGGTAAGTGTATGTGTCACCAGTGCATCACCAGAAAAGGATGTGCTATGTATTGTCTCTTTTGTAGAACCGCTCAAGGATGTAGACGATGTTGCACTTCCCACGTGTTGTTCCCTTGATGGTGTCTTTTGTAAGGCTTCTAAAGTAGTCAGGGAACCTGTACTATGGATAGTATGTGTCGGACTATCCATGGCCTCGGCACCTGATGATGTCCTTTGCAAAGGGTCTAACATAGTTCGCGGACTTGTATTAGAGAGGGTTAGGTAGTGTGGGTAAGGATGAACCTTCGTGATGAGTAAATGGCTTGTGGCTTGTTACACCCTTTAGCAAAGTTGTTAAGGTAGAATGTTGTGTGTTATTTTCAATGAGCTGTGATTGTGATGCCACCGAGGATGCTGTGGTGTTTGGGTTGGTGCCATTTGTTGGAGCAATGTGATGGGTGGAAGGTTTCTGCCAGTCACCTATGTATATGACGCTAGGAGAGGCGACAATGTTAAACAAAGGAGTTGTCGGAGATGTGGATGGCTGTGTGTTTGAGGATATGGAAGGATGGGGTTGAGTATGAGCTAGGGTAGAGGGATGAGTATCAACACTGATGCTCTCCATGGCAGACGTCGAATGGTAATCAGCATGTCCTGTTGCAGTAGTATTTTCATGCACCTCCGAGGATTTCATAGTTCTTGTGGTCTGAGAAATACCAACTGAATGTTCAGCTGCGGTAACAGCATTCTGGCTTGTGTGAGACGTAACATTATTTTCTACGTTGCTTTGATTGTGTGTGATTCCTAAGTCACTATGATCATAGATCGATACTGAAGATACATCAGAACGTACTGTGGTAGCAGTATTCTCGCCTGCAGCAGGTGGGGGTTCTTCAACGTCCGGGTTCCCTGTAAACGGCAATGTAGTTACTATTCCGTCTGTCCGACGTTTGTCTATACTGTAAGGCAACGTCGTCACTGTTTTCATTGTCGTAGAGTTGATGCCATACATGTTAACTGTATCTGCACTAGTTCCTGTGAGTGAACTATTAATGATAGGCCCGTATGTAGAAGTAACTGTTGCTGTCATTTGGTCCGAAGCACTTGTATTTTCAATGGGCACACTAGTATATTGGGCGTTTGCTGTCGAATTCATGCTTGGCTCTGTTGATGTATTTATGAAAGAAAACGAGGGATAGTCGAACGTCGTTTTATTAGTGACACGCCCGTATGTCGGAGTTACAGTCACTGCAGTTGTATTTTCAATGGACCCACTGGTATATTGGGGTTTTTCTGTCGAATTCATACTTGAGTATGTTGAGGTATTTGTGAAAGAATATTCAGATGTCGAATTTTCTCTTGGTAATGTCGCAAAGTCTACAAGTCCCGTCTGCAGTTGTGTCGTATTTGTCTCTCTGTCTGTTGCGACGTCGTACGATCCAGTTGTTGCTAATGTTGTAGAGTTGAGATCATGCAGAATACCCGTACTATGAGATTCGTTACCACTTCTGATGACTGAGCTATTTCTAGTTAGTCCATCTGTGAAATTGGCTGTGATTTGATACACACTCACATTTTCACTTGTATATCGAGATTTTGCTGTAGAATTAAGACTTGTCTCTGTTGAGACATTTGTGAAAAAAAATGTCGAATTTTCACTTGATAATGTAACGTCTGGTAGGTCTGTTTGCAATGGCGTCGTATCATTCTCGCGAGAGTTTGTCATGTGACTTGTGACGTACACTCCAGTTGTGGCTAGTGTTGTATGGTTGGCATCATGCAAGTAAGACAGACTGACATTTTCTACGGAGTCACTTGTAGCTGTCATTTGTGTTTTTGCTGTAGCATTTAGATCTAGGTCTTTTGAAGAATTTGTGAGAGAAAATGTAACTGGCTTGTCTGTTGAACTTCCATTTTCTCTCGGTAATGTCATAAAGTCTAGAAGTCTCGTTCGCAGTAGTGTCGTATTTGTCTCGCGAGAGTTTGTCACGTGGCTTGTGACGTCGTACACTCCTGTCGTAGTCTGGTCTGAACCAGTACCTGAGGGTGAAACCGTTAAAACAGCTCTAGTACATAACAGTCACATGCAGGGGCGCAATTTCTTTCATGATCATATTGGCGCTTTGACTAGAATACTTACCTTATGTGCCATTAATAAGAACAATTGTGAAGAATAATATTAAGGATATTCCAAGCAAGTATAACGTAGCTTAAAATACATAATACTTTGGTTAACTGTAATATGTTAGAGGTTGGATGCATATATACTAAACGTTCTTGAACAGACAAAAGTAGAGAACTGTGCCCTGATAAAGAACGGAAAGTAATGCAAAACATTTCAGTAGATTGATGTTATGAGGTTCAATGTGATTTCACCCGATGTGGTTTCCACTATGTATGAAATACCTCCATCTGTACTGCCGGGAGTGACAACTGGTACTGCCTCGGTAGGAGCTTCCACCGACTGGCCGGTAATTAAACATGGCGGCACTAACATGGACAGACAGACAGATCATAAGATTACAGACATTCAAACGACATCACGGAAACGTGCTTTTTAACTGTATTGTATGAGGTAACGTTCAGTCACGGAAGGCTTAGACTTCAATTTTTGTGAAACGAAAAAAATGAGTGACTGTACTTGACATCTAAATGGGCTAATGCCAAGTTCTTTCTTCTAAGCCCGATTACACATGTAAAACATGAAAAGAATCAACTAAAACATGTTTGAAACCATTCAGGCAAATCTCCAGTAGATAGTTTATCTTAAAAGGAGTAAATATGGGTTTGGAAGTTAAAAGTTGTATTTTGTTGGATCTAGCCATTTATACCATAGCATATCTTGTTTATTTTGTTTGCTCGCTAAACGTCACTATCAAATTTGTTGGAATCCAAGCCTTATAGATATCTTTTGTTTGTCACCAGTAGTCGGAATGTCAAGCAGTACTTTAAACGTTATTCTTTTGCAAAAAAAACGTTATTTGGAAGTGAACATTCTGCTGGAATAAGAACATTGTCAACATCATACATCGAAACAATGTAGGTGGAAACATTGAGATAATACTTGAAAATTTGTCTGTGACAACCCTATCTTTGCCATTTAGATACTGTACAAACTCATTCGTTTGAAAGTTTGTAATGCAAGGTAATCATGAAATTCTTAAACATAAACACCTAGGACTTGTTTACAGGCTGATTGGGATAACAACAAACAACATTTGTGTGCTATGAAACAGACAATGTATAACGGACACTCCAACGGATGTAAAGAAAATCGTCATAAAGCCAGCAATGTGTTGGATGGTTTGTTATTCAAATAGCTTACTTAGTATCATAGGCCGCTGAAGTAAACATACAAGAATATGTTCAATTCAACTCAACAGTACACATCTCACCTTGTATTGTAATGATGATCACCAGCACTATTGTTCTTGTTAAATCCTTCATAGCAAAAAAGTTGCAGCGAACGACAAGAAGCTTCTAGAATCCGCACTGGGTACTCCGATGAAAAATCTCAGGTCCACTTGGCAATGTTTATAAGTTCCTTCTGTCGACAATCCAACATCTTGTTCGTAGACGGGAATAAATGTTTCCAAACGGCTTGCTCACCACAAACACCGTGTATGTTTGGTAGGTATCTCAGGCCCTCTCTATGTTCATTACAGAGCAACATCAGTCTCCATTCCCCTGGGTAGCATCACAGTCTCAGAGGGAACATCACGGATTGATCGAGTTAATACGTTCTTTGTTGAGCTGCCGCCCCAGGAATATGTTCGTGTCAGTTCGGAATTGATTGTCAGACTGATTACTGAATCATTTCCTCTGTATAAACCCTGCTGGCATGCAAAGTACACCAGATTCTAGACTCCACGTCAGCACAAAATCGATAAAACTTTGCATATTTATTCTGTATAAAGAAAGGACTGATACGTGATGTAATTTTCCTCGTCAAAGAGGTCCTAGAAAATCCGCTTAAAGGCAAACAAATGTCGTTTTCAGATAATCCTTTTATCTTAATTGAAAGTTGAAATAACATTTTCTTAATGAGACAGGAAATGAACAATATACATTATTATAATAGCGTTTGGGCTAAGTACATGCAGTTAAGTATGAATAAGAAACAAAGTAAAACACATTGCTAAACATACTGCTGAGTATGTAAATACAAGGTCGTTGCGAGGGATATTATAGTTCCTGATTATTTAACAAAAATTCATGACTAAATACAGGAAAATAATTCTAAGCCATACCAAATAATCATTAACAATGAGGCATCCATATAAACGTAAAGCTACATGTAACATATACTACTATACTGGTCGTATAGTAAAATTATGTACTTTGCTATGGGTGTAAATGTACTTCTCACTGAACAACAATCATACTTCTTTCAATTACTTCAATATTGTATACACTGTACATTAACCTTTTCCATGCTAGGTTGGCCTTTTAGCATACAATCTGTATTGGTTACATGCGTAGGCAGCAGTGAGAAGGTTAAAATTGCAATATGACAAGGGTCAATCAAAGGCTAAGTGCCTGTGATGGATAACTACTGCTCTATCAGCTACAATTGCCAATAACAATTCACTACCAATATCCATCATCACAATAGTCACCATCGATCCAGCTGATGTAAGTGGTATTGCCTTGAGTAGTCTATTCAGGAACTTATGGAGAGAAAAACTCCGATATCTCTAATGACTTACAATTGGAAACATGTATAATATTTAGCTAATTAAAATATACCAACTACAGTCACAGTTCAAGTTCATTTGCTACTACAATGATCATGCTGCATATACAGTTGTTATTCCTGTCTGCATCATTTAAATGAGACAATTATAATATTTGTATCCCGTTGTAGTATAAGAGACAACTGATACATGTTAATGTCTGTTGTAGATTTGGCTGTCTTTTTATCAATAGACATACATTTCTACAGACAATATGATAACATTCATTTGTCGTGGGTAGCATTTGGTCCATCCAGTCAAAGCTGTCTACGATTCTTGACCTCAATTGAATCATTTTAAAGGTCCAGGTAGACATGGTCTTGATATTCTGCCATCTCAAGTGCCTCTGGAGCCGTCTCATCTGACCTACCAACATTCTGGTACAAAGATGCATCTTTTGCTTGCTCAGCACTAAGGCTTGTATACGTGCTTTCGTTCTTTGGTCTCTGGTTCCCTTCGCCCAGACTTGTGTAGGTTGTGGCTTCCATAGTGTCAGGATTCAGCGCTTGGTAAGGAGATTCTTCCTCTATGTTCTTTGAGTAGCGAGTTGGGGCGGTGTCTTTTGGCACCACACCGCTGTTGACTATTCCAGCCTGTTGACCTGCAGTACCAATTGATGTCGCTGGGGTGTAGGAGTGTCTCGGGGCCGTGCGTTTGGTCCTCCTCCGCGGAGGGGCGACTGGGGAACTCCCCCCGCCAACAGTGGCATATTCCGTACCAATGACGTCGTCCGTAAGAGCTATCTTTCCCGACATTCTGTGGGAGAAACATCAGTTTTATCATTTTTCTTAATAGAACATTATGGAGCAACAATTCAAGTTAATCATACAAATGTACCAGCATTGTCCTAATGTCATGCCATCTTTGTTACATGCTTCAACACATAAACATATCATAGACGGAGAGTTTTTCGAGGGTCGCTAAAAACATCCACGCTTATTCTTTACCTTCTTAGCTTGACAACGAGGAAGCCGATGGCAATAATGGCGATTACAAAGAGAATCGCCAGGACCACCAAAACTCCTGTAAGCGCCGACACAATGTGGGTGGTGTTGGCTGGGATAATCTGGGAGAGAGACATTCAATGTCAATATTTCATTGTTCTGTTAGTGCTGTCTTTTTTCAGCTTGATACACCAAACGAAAGGCTGAGATCCTTGGCGAAACTCAACAAACAAACAAGCAACCATTATGCGAAGGAAAGCTCATCTGTGAATCCATAGTTGTAGAGTTTGTGACTAAAAATCAATGGTGATCTCCTTTCTTGTGTTGGAACAAAGCCTAGACTCTACAATTATGCTTTACCTGACAACCACCGTCCCCGGCCTCATAACGGTTCTCCTCACACACACACTCCGAGATAACCCTGCCTGGGTACTTTTCACTCAGATGACAGTAACTCCCATCCCCACATTCAAGGGTGCAAAAACTTGGGTCGTCTAAGATCTGTTGAATCTCTGTTGTACGAAAAAAGTGAACGTTTAGGCAGTAAGTGAGTAAGTCGTTCAAAGTTGAAAAAAGTCAAAATCTGACAATTTCCGTTTAAATGACCATACTTTACTTTAAAAAGACCAACGACAAAACACAAAGCAACACGACGCTTCTAACCTTCGTCAGTAAATATGGCTAGCCGTAGTGCATTTCCATTGGTGATGTTTAGTGCTGTGTCGAGCGCCCCATTGTTGATCAGTTCTCGTAGCTGTTCCTGTGCTCGCTGGGTAATAATCGAGTCTGCTTCCGACCTTGTTGTGTTGAAGATTGTAGCAAACCTGGCCACTGTGCTTCCTGGGCTAGACATGACGATTCAAAGAAGCAAAAGTTAGTAAAAGTTGATGTTAGTTGTCACTTTGACAATTTTAGTCATACTAAGTTCAGCAAGATTTTTCGATGCTACAAATTTTGACCAATACCAACAATAGTACTTAATTTTTTGGTGGCATAGATATCATAAAATACAACTTACACAAATCGAATCAGTCTGATGTCGACATATCCTGGCTGGTTGATGTATATCGGAAAAATCTGAAAAGTACAAAAAATAAAATAAGTTTTTCGATAGTTGCTACATATTGATTACATATACGTAATAACAAAGCATCTCAAGGAACACAAGGACTATTTTTCTATGCCTTCCCCCCACCTTACCGCTGTTCGAAACGTGTCCGCTAGATTCATAAATTCAATTGTTGTCCTGTTGCTGTACTCTGGTTGAAATGGCAACCCAAGAACCAACTCGTACGGTATAATCCTTCTTGCAGTGGTGACTGTGGCAGGCTCTTTTGCGGTGGTTGGTGCTTCAGTCATAATCGTTGTAGAAGTCGGTGCTTCAGTCATGATCGCTGTAGTAGTCGGTGTTTCTGTGTTCATCTCTGTTGTAGCCGGTGTTTCAGAGTTGATCACTGTTGTAGTCGGCTCTTCAGTGTTGATGTCTGTTGTAGTCGGTGCTTCAGTCATGATCGCTGCACTAGTCGGTGTTTCTGTGTTGATCTCTGTTGTAGTCGGTGTTTCAGTGTTGATCACTGTTGTAGTTGGTGTTTCAGTGTTGATCTCTGTTGTAGTCGGTGTTTCAGTGTTGATCTCTGTTGTAGTCGGTGCTTCAGTCGTGATCGCCGTAGTAGCCTGTGTTGCAGTAGCCGGTGCTTCAGTGGTGATCGCTGTAGTAGCCGTTGCTTCGGTCGTAATCGCTGTAGTAGCCGGTGCTTCAGTCGTGATCGCTGTAGTAGCAGGTGTTTCTGTCGTGATCGCTGTAGTAGCCGTTGCTTCAGTCGTGATCGCTGTAGTACCCGTTGCTTCGGTCGTGATCGCTGTAGTACCCGTTGCTTCGGTCGTGATCGCTGTAGTATCCGGTGCTTCAGTCGTGATCGCTGTAGTACCCGTTGCTTCGGTCGTGATCGCTGTAGTAGCCGTTGCTTCAGTCGTGATCGCTGTAGTAGCCAGTACTTCAGTACTAGTCGTGATCGCTGTAGTAGCCAGTGCTTCAGTCGTGATGGCTGAAGTATACGGTGTTTCGGTCGTGATCGCTGTAATAGCCGGTTTTTCAGTTGTGACTGCTGTGACCAATGGTATTGTTGTAAAGGCAGAAAAGACAACAAAGAAGAGGGGTGCTCCCTTTGCTAGATGACCACACAGAAGAAGCATCATGGCACTGACGATATTTGCGACCTGAAGAATAAAAATTCACACATTTAGTATCATTTTCACACATCAATAACGATGGGCTGTGACTGCACTGAAAATATTTATGCTAAAGTAATTTACTGTAAACAGACGTTTGCTGCATAGTATCGTAGTTTTGTCTTGCACGACTAGACTATTCAGATTTCTTGCATTTTGCTTGTCCCTTTCCTTCCTAACCCTCCTTACAAATGATACAATTAAGCGCTTTGTGCCAAGACTTCAGGATTGAGTTTCGTCACATTCATTTGTGAAGCACACTTGTTACAAAGAAACATGATGCGCATACTAATGACATGTTTCAGTTGACTGACAACAACACTGCGCCATGACATGCCTTCCATCCCTGACAACACTACATTATTGTCACAGTCTTTGGCATACACAAAGATCACATATTTAGGATGCCTTGTTTCAAGGGAAGCCTCAAGCGTTCCCCGCTACAATTTGCTATCATAGGTCAGATCTCAGAAGGCTTGGGTACGATACGGGAGAGCAGTGTCACTTTAAACGTGTTTCTTCCTACGGGAGTCTCACCAGAAATTCTTAGGAGAGAGGTGCTCCCTAATTGGTTGATGAAAAATCAGGGAATTTTCATGAAAATACTTAGGGAAAACCCTAAATGCGAACATTTTGGGATAGGTGTACTAGGATTTTTGGAAGAGCACCCTTGCTTCATTACTTGGGGAGAGCCCTGTTCTAGCACCTGGCATTTAACGTAGCCACTGAACTGTGCATAATGAATTCTGTCAACATCCACTGCTGTGTTGGAAGGACGCCAAGTCACGCACCCACACTATTCACTTGTTTCCTTCCTGGTCGTATTTCCTGCATTACAGCTACAGTGATGAAGTCAGGTGTGTATTATTGGGCCATGAGGACTGCTGTGGGGTCGTGGAACATTTGCATGCATTTATGTCTTGCCGTTACAAATGTACGGATCACAGTTGTATGATGATTTAGAAAAGAAACTTGTGTTTAGTTTTCACAGATTTCTGTTGTCAGAAACTACGTTAACCACCAACGTCAAAGTTGGTAGGAAAAATATATATCCTATCCTGGTGGCGACGTTAATATTTTTTTAGTAATACGTACAAATTACTACAATGGAGTGTACATGGGCTGTACAGTTTAGGTTTAGTATGTCAGTAGTTCTGGAAGGATTAAACCAAGAAGACAAGAAAGGGGTGGATATAAAAGGTACACGTTTAAGCGTGAAGGCAAACTAATTTGTACACGAATATTACAAAAAATTATCATTACAAGATGTTAGAACAGTTTCCAAAGTTTCTACACCCACTTCCAACGACCACTCATGGGCTGGCCATGGTCTTTGACTCAAGGCACCTTTTATTTTGCTCTTGTCTTCACCTGCTAACAAAGCAACATAAACAATGCCTGCCTACTTACAACCTGACTTAGTAACTATCAGTTAGTTTACGTAGCTTAAATAGAAGAATTGATACACAAGAACACGTGTATCTAGTGAACATAGCAAAAAATGTCAAAGAAAGAACGCAAATGACAGACTACCTGCGGTCTAAGTTAAGATGACCTTGGACGCCATTTTGTTTCTTTTACTGACTTCCTCTCCCCATACACCTGTTGACTTTTAAGGAAACTAAAACACAAACTTTGCTTGCCTGACTTTATAAAGAAAGTCTTTACCTGTGTGGAGTGTTCTCTCAGCGTCTTCAAGACAGAAACTAGTTCTTTAAGTGTCTCAGTAGTTCTTCGACAAAAGCACCTGTCGAGCATGTAACTGGGAATGTCCTTCTATCTCTCGTGTAGTCACTGAAGTGGAACTAAGTACGTCATGTGTAAGTGCGGTAAGCGGAACAGGTATGTAGCTGTAACGGGATACACCACATGACATGGGGGAATAGGGTAAGAATGTTCGCCCATGGCCAACGTTTTATCCTGGTGCAAAATCGTTCGAACGATTTGGGCAGATATAAAAGCAACGTGACCGCAAATTTTGGTACAAGGGTGCTTTGCCACATGTATGTTGAAAATATTTCTCATTTTTGAGTGCATGATTTATTTTGAAGTGGCTTAGCTACCTTTATTGATTAAACTTACTACATTACGAAAATTACCAGAAAATTGACTTTCAAAATCAAATCAGTTTTACTGCACTGAAATCGCTTTATGTGCCTTTAAATGATTTTTATGTTAGAATGAAGCCGGTATGTACATCTACATACACCGGTGATGTAACTGAAGCTAAAAACAGGTGGAAAGATGTAGGACGAAAGTATTGCTTGCATCTGAACGGGGGGAAGAAATGTACTAAAGTTTCTTTTTAGCACAAAAAATAACAGTAAGATTACCACAAAGCACGAGTACTGCATGTGAGAAAGCGACTACGTGTCCGCAAAGTGGTCATCATGTTCATTATGGCGAGATTTGGGTAATTAAAAGGACAATGTTTCTTAAACATTACCTACATAAGAATAGAACAGTCCAAAGTCAGACGATACTGCCATTTCGAAGAGGCGGCTTGGTGAGTCCAGATGCTTTAGTCTCGTTTCTTTCTTTGGTGTAATGGTTTGCTTGTAGTGTTGTAATTGACGCTTGTAATGTTTGCAGTGCACAGATGTGATTTATGTAAGCATGCACCGTGTGTTAAGATAGCTTCAGTGAAGCAATCTTAAAACACGGTGCATGCTTACATAAACTATTTCTCCATTGAGACTTAGCAATGGAAAGATGTAGCGCCACAGTGCGGACAGATGCATAAATGCAACTTGTACGTTGTATAGATGTACTAAACTAGCAGCGAGGCGCGATTATACGTGTTTTGACCCATGATTATGCTAAGTTATGTTACTGCATGGAATATCACATGTGTTATACATAATACAGCCAAACCTGTGCAAGTGACAACTTTTACACAAGGTCCACATGGCCAATGGCGTGACTTTTTAAAATATTTTTGAGTTTATAAAACTTTTGGTCCAACACAAAAGTATTTTTCCCTATTGACACACGCATCAAAACTATTATGACTACCTGTCCACATAGACAACCTTTTGTTGGTTCCTGGATGGTCTTCTTGTGCAGTTTTTACCGTAGGTGTGTACATGGCTAATACATGCATTGTGGTGTTTCTATTTCTTTGACTTGTATTGCCCCTCAAGCGCTGGCTAGGGTTTCAATGAATTCATGAACTACAAAGTGGCTAAACTCTTCTGGCCAATACATTTGACTGTTTTTTAACCGGCGTTGTTATTCTGGTAGACACTGTATTGCAGTAGAGAGTGTAATATCTAGATTGACCGAAGCTGACTTGTTAGTAAACAGTTCTGACAGACCGCAACACTCTGCGAAAGCACGTGACACGAGAACACATGACCCTTGCAAACACACAGACCAGCATGTTGGTACACAGTAGTCCTGCTTGTGGGGTGGAGACATAGAGATATAGGCACCGCTACTGTACTGGAATTATTTTCACCACCATTTTCGTTTGAGAAAAAGTCCGCATTTTGGTTGTAAGATGCCGTTTGGAACGGTTCTAGCCATAGGGCTACTACTTGTAGCGAGCGTTGCGGCTGATATAGACTTCGTGTATCACAACTACACCGAGTTGACGCGCGTTCTTACGGAGACGGCGTTACAGTGCCCGGAGATCATGCAGGTCTATACGGTGGGGCAGAGCGTGCAGGGCCGGGAACTCTGGGTCATGGAGATCAGCGACAACCTGGGCGACCACGAGCCAGGTACGTTCAGCTCACAAACGTCGTGAGATTGTCGCAAGATTGTCGTAAGATTGTCGCAAGATCTCAAATCACTGGGATAGTCCGAAATTCAACCATATTCTTAGGGAAAATCCTTAGAGTTGTCGGTAGGTTCTGTCACAGTCTGCTTAGAAATTTAAGGATATCAAAATTGTACGCAAATGTGACCACGCCGTATTAGGGGGAGTTCCGTGTACTTAAAGGGTGGTGCCTCCTTTTTACTATAGAAAAGTTTATTCTCAGTCCCTTTTTTCAAACAATAAAGGAAGTCATACATTTAGTGTGTAAACTTGATAATAAAAGGGCCCGGGGAGAAATATGTAAGACACAGAGTCGTATTTGGAAAGTCTGTTCGGTATTTTCGTACAGTGTACGTTCGATCTGTTACCCTAGAGCCCGGGCACCTGTCATACTCGCCGCAGGTTTTACGACAGCTGCTTTAGGGCGTTATTGGCACAGTTGTGGATGCGGCATTATTCAGCTGTCATGTTTCCATAGATCCTTGTTAGCTGTTGGCTCTTGCTGTCATAGCTTCCTTTGACAAAAATGTATACAACGGACGTGGTCGTAATTTTACTTGTATATAACAGGACATAGGCAAGTTGTCCATATAGTGGTATGATGTTGTTTGAAGTTCTTCTAAACGATCGATATCTGCATGGGTCTCTTATCATGACATCGTCCAATGGTGTGACAGGAAGGACCATTTCAGAATTGTTTTATGAGACCGTTATCTGTACCGAAAATCGGATTTCCCTGCTTTCATAACTGGAATATGATGCATACAAAAGTACGATTTAAAAGACAAAGAAGAGAAAGCGTAAAAATATACGGTTTTTTTTTCTTAGCGGCATGCCAAATGTGTCTGGCCGCTTAGCGTTCGCTTCCTCTAGTGCAAAAGGGGTGTAACCAGCAAAGCGGAGCTGTATGTGTAAAGGGCTAATGAAGTGTTACGTTACACCTGTTTTCTTCTGTCATGGACGTCGGTTTTAGAGAAATATTGTACTCATAAATCAATGAGTTGTTGTATCAGGTGTGTGCACTTGTACCGGCAATTGACAGTTATATTGGACGCGTAATCCCGTCTTGGCTAAATGCCATCCTCGGGCTTAGCGAGGGTTCTATTCCTGAAGTGTATAATTTCTACTAACATTTTAGGCCAGGTACCTTAAGCTTAAGACTGCTATATTTAAAAAGAAAACATACGGAGGCTTTCTTATGGATGACTTAAACACCAGGATATTTAAAGTGTGCATACCTCAGGTATTATTGGTGCTGCATTAGTATATCTCTTTAAATTCACCTTTTTTAAAAGTTAATTAAACCTTTTGTTACTTTGTGGAGGCATGTTAGTAAACATTGCCTACATTGGCAGTTTTCAGTTAGCTCACATAGTCAGACCCCTCCCCCAGACCCCCCCCCCTTCAACCCACTTCTACCAAAGCATAATTTAGACGAAACTCCCTCCCTTTACTCCTTACAACTGTTTTTGTTAGCATTAGGCGGTGACTTTTGTATGTTATGGTCATAAACCAGGTGCCGTATTGAAACATTACGCAGGTGGGTAGACTTAATAAACGCTCTTGACAGCTCAAATAATTGTTCACGGAGAAGTCATAGATTATACATAGTGTACCATTGCAAGCTAGCAAGACTACTTGTTCTATAATATTTGGTCAAAGATGTGGGATCTACTTTTATAGACGTTCATAAAACAAAATAAACCAGGAAATATGCATTTTCTTATATACGTATAACCTGCGAGTCATTGCAAGAATTTAAGACAACTTTTTAAAAAGACAGTAATATCAAGACAGCAAATTACATTCATATTAGATTGATGTAGAGAAAACAAGACGAATTTCTGTTGAACACATGCACCCTCCCCTGGCACAAGTACAAGTGACAGCTAGTGTAAATATTGGCAATAAACACGGCCCCCACTTGTTCCTCAAACACGGGCGGCAGACATGTCAACACGTGCCCGGTACAAAGGGAGAGTTGCCCCGCTGTTGCGTTTAGGGGGAGGTGCTCAAAGGGGGCTTGGAGAACGCGAAAACTCGCGAAATCTTGTTATCACCAAAATTCAGTAGCTTATACAGTAGGCACGAGTTCAAATTTTGTTTATGAAACGAGAACATACTATATTCTAGTTAGGGAAATATTAAACATGATGAAACTGTTACTAGACATTTACTGATAGTGATATCTATGTGTCTGTTAAATTTACTGATATCTATGTGTCTGTTAATCTTCAAGCAGATGTAGGTTTGGGACATGTGGTCTTGAGGTAAACCCTCAAATTCTATACGTGATAAGACTTCCGTTTCAGTGTACAATGCTATCATTCAGTTAGTCTAGTGCAGTAGGATAGCAATGTGAACACGGGAAGATGTGTTTTGTAGTAACTGAGCTATACGTTCCTTAGTTCCTTCCATATTAACTATTCTACATTCAAGTACAGCCCTGATCCTATCAAGGTCCACACAAACATGTAAGACATGTAATTAACATCAGATATAAATGACCTAACGTAAACCCCATGTTCGACATGTCCAATGTCTACACCATTAACTAACGGTTTATGATACAGTTACATAACAATTGCGGGACGTCAAAGGCCCGCCAGTAACCTTTATACATAAACGTTGCCCAGTTTTTATCTGTGAACTGTGTGCACTCGACCAACAGTCAAGCATGATATGCTGTTTGCACTGTTTATTATTGATATGATAACATACTTGTCAGATGTCCAATTAGATTAAAGCAGGTTGGAGTGCTTTAGTGGGGAGGGGGGTACCAAGCCAACTGCAATATTTCAAGATTTCTTGTCGTCAATAATTTCAACATGTTGGCGAATGATTGAAGTTCCTTATTCATAGCCACTTGTTTGATGAGATCTGACGTTTCGATGACCGTATGCCATCTTCATCAGGGCAATTATGACTGGGGAACTGTTAATTTCAACTGTTTGACTGTGAAACTCCAGTCTTTGTCAATGAATGAGCAATCCACTGCTTTTCTATGTGACATCACAATGTACAGAGGACACACTTGACTCGGTGAACAGTGGATCATACATGTAGGATACAGAAAGTCTGTGACGCCCCCCGTCTCGATGAGTGACGATTGCAATGCCTTAATGTACATGGCCTCTATAATAAGTTATTGTTGTCCATTTTTAGGTGAACCAGAGTTCAAGTATGTGGGAAACATGCACGGTAACGAGGTGGTTGGACGTGAGATCCTTGTGTACCTGGTACAGTACATCTGTGATCAGTACTCCGCAGGAGACAGCCGCATCAGGAGCCTGGTGCACGAGACTAGGATCCACATCATGCCCTCCATGAACCCGGACGGCTTCGAGTTCGCTGAAGCTTATGTAAGGGTCTTTGGAGTTTGGTTCAATGTGCAATATGTAGTAGTATTACATGTATTGGGTACCGTCTGTGAATGCTTGTGAGCGTACGTACGTATGTGTGCTTGTGTGTGTGTTACATGTATATGTGTTCGTGTGATTGTGCATGTATGTGTTTGTGTGTGTGTTTTGGTGTGTGTGTGTATGTGTTTGTGTGTAAGAGAGACAGAAAGAGAAAGATTGTCTCTGATTGAGTGAGTGAGTGAGTGAGCGAGTGAGTGAGTGAGTGTGTGTGCGTGTGCGTGTGTGTGTGTGTGTGTGTGTGTGTGTGTGTGTGTGTGTCTGTGTGTGTGTCTCTGTGTGTGTGTGTGTCCCATCTGGCTAATTTAATGCTGTCTTTCGAGGTTTGCCATGTTTTTTTTTTTGTTTTAAAACAGACCCCTCCATCCAGCCCGAACCAGACGGACTGGTCCTATCTGGCTGGCCGGTACTCTTTCTTCGATAACGGGGAGCGCTACGACGGGTTCAACGGCACGGACCTGAACCGGAACTTCCCGGACCTGAACTCGGTGGTCTACCGGTACGAGAACACCTCCGGGCCGAACCACCACCTCAGCGTGCCCGACGACTTCTGGACGGGCAAGAGCGTCAGTATGGGGGTGAGTTAGCCTGGTAGACAGTCTATTGTAGGCTCGCTGGTATCTCTACTGTGCTGAAAGTACTTTGCCTGGGTGCCAGACCCTGGCATTTCAGAAACCAAAAGTATGCACCAAGGCTTTTATCTATCATGCTAGTAGCAATATGGTTAGAGCCAGGGTGACGACTATGGCCTAGTGCGGCGAAGGATAGGGGCTGGCACCCAGGCTAGGCCAGCAAAAGTTTACCTTTGGGAACCAGACAATTCTTTGAGAGTTATTCCTCTGTATTCAAAGCAGGCCGAACTGGCATTTATGTTTTTTGTTTTGTTTTTGTTTTTCTTCTCAGCCCGCGCCAGAAACCCTCCGGGTGATGGACTGGATTCTCCGCTATCCCTTCGTCCTCTCGGCGAACCTTCACGGGGGCGAACTCGTCTCCAACTACCCGTACGACTTGTCCCGAACCTATCCGGCCAATCCCGACGCCTACACGATGTGTCCCGACGACGAGGTGTTCCGAGAACTTGCGAAGGCCTACTCCCTGCCGCACGGCACCATGGCGAAGTGCGGGGTGACCCAACCGTGCGATACCGACGACTTCGCCTGTCGGGACGGCATCACCAACGGGGCCGACTGGTACAGCGTCACGGGGGGTAAGCTGGGACAGACAGTTCAACTTTCTTGCTGAATGGTTGAATAAAATACGGCTTTTTACGCATGTAGTCCACTTTTTCTGGCACTAGTCCACTCTACAAAAAGCTGCGTGATATGAGATCAGTCTGTAGTAAATGCATGTACTGAATTTCTTGTCGAATTTCTGGTGGAACTTCTAAAACTTAGACAAAGTCAGCCTAGAATGAAGATGCAGACGTAAAACCTTTTCTCATTCAGACGACAGCTGAACAAGTTAAAGGGATGAACAGAATTGTAAAGGTAATGACATGAGCTTCATTGGTACTTGAATGTACTTGAATGGATTTAGCACTTGTACTTGGCGTGATAAATTAATAAAAATTACCGCTCTCTATTTATGACTTTCCAGGTATGCAGGACTTTAACTACCTTGCCTCGAACTGCTTTGAAATCACGCTGGAACTGTCGTGTAACAAGTTCCCACCTGAGAGCGAACTGATGCAGTTCTGGGAAGACAACAGGGAGGCGCTTTTGCAATTCATGGAAAAGGTAGAGCTGTCACTGACCGTGAACTTGTTAAAAAAACAGAAGTTCTTAAGATTTTGCTCTTACCGTCGAAAACGGCGGTGTTGCTAGTTCCATTGTTTTCACACAAAGTTAATTGGTTATTTGTTTGTTTGTTTGATTGATCGATCAATAGTTTGAACGTAGTAAATGTTTGCGATTGCTGCGAAGGAATGAGATCTGAAGCTGATGTAAGTGCTGCAATATTTCTTTCATCCGTTAGACGTCTCTTTTGAGCCGCATCGTGTTTCTGTGTTTGCTGACAGGTGCACAGCGGCATCAAAGGGTTCGTGAGAGACGCCAACAACAACGGCATCGCTGACGCCGTCATCTCTGTCAGGGGTATCAACCATGACGTTACAACAGGTCGGTCAATCTGCATGTCTTCTCGTCTTTCAGTCTCTTTATTTCTCTGTTCTTCTCTACCAATTTCTGTCTTTCTCTCTAAAAAAAACCCTCTCTTTCTGAGACTGCACCCAACCATGTACATTGCAACCTGACCAAAGGGCCACTCGGAAACACAGACACACACACGGGCATACCAAAAATAATGTCTTAATTTTCCATGGCGGTAAATATTTCTTGTTCCCCGCAGCGCGTGACGGTGACTACTGGCGGCTGCTGGTGCCGGGTACGTACCGCGTGACGGCGTCGTGGGGCGGCTGGAGTCAGGAGAAGACCTGTACAGCCGCTAACCGAGCCGGGAGATGTGACTTCGTCCTGGGGGCACCTCCCACCCGGCCGCCCGGCACTTCTAACGGGAACTCCGGCAGGGCGCTGGTCTGGAGCTTCGTGTTGGCGGCCGCTGTGTTAGTCTTCAGTTGACTGTGATTTAAAAATTTTAAACCACGAAAAGAAAACTCTACATTCGCTAAAGATTTGATTTATTACATCTGTAGCTTCGTGTTGGCCATTGCAGTGCTTGTCTTCAGTTGGCTGTAATTTTTTTAACCACGAAAAGAAAACTCTACCCTCATTAACTCGGCTGTATGAAATGATACAGCCAGGACTGTCAAACTAGCGGGAGGCTAGTTGAAAGGACTAGCTCCGGTAACTGGACTAATAGTACAATAAGAACCGTTACAATGCTGATTTCAGTGCGTTAACAGACTGAGGTAGCTTTTACAATGCTCGTTCAAATACGTTAACAGAAGTAACTTAACAATGCTCATTCAAATTAAATCGCTGCTTCGCTTCGCCTTGCTAAAGGTTAAAGTAATAGTATTTTTTATGCCACATACATGTAGAATAGCCGTCTGCCATACATTCAGATTTCGCGCCTATGTTATGACTGACGTGGTAATTTCGCCCTTTCAAACAATAATAAAACCAAGCCTGACTGGTTAGATTGAAGGGAAGATTGGGCTGCACAATGGTAGATGACCTTTCGTGAGGGCACTGCCAGATAATGCTGGGCGTAGCTGCAATTGTCTCCACGCAACCGTAATCATACACTGCTAATATAAGGCCCGGGAAAAATCTTGTGTTTCGGGTTTTCATCGAGATCATGAATATGCAGTGTTTCTCTTTTTTTCTTTTTCTTTCCTTTAAGATTTCTGTTGTGGTATCGTAACAAATATAGTTTAATTTATCGCAACGTGAAAATAAAATGCATCAGAACCAGTGCTGTCTACAGGATACCTAGGAGCCGTCCCTCCGTTTACTTTTGAAAAAAAAAAACACTAGTATTTCACCTGGTGTACTCAATAAAATACTGATTTCTAAAAATGCGCGTGGGGTACTAGTATTAGTGATGTGTCAGATGGTTTGAAATTCAGATGTCAGATCGACGAAACTTGTGTGCCCTTTCCAGCGGTCAACCTGCAAAAAAGACAAGGCTGGACAGGTTTTTGATACGGTCGATCGGAGACCACAAATATAGCATGTTTTCACAATGCTAATCATCTTTGTCATAGCGATAACGACCTTTTAAGGGTTTATATATGGGTTTTAATCGGATTAAGGTTCCTCCTGTATCTAATACTTGCTATTAAGGCCATGTTGATTTGATTATATGGATGACATCCACGCGCGCATGAATTTTTGTCCGCTTCTAAGAAAGAAAGTTTTCTACCATCTGAGTTCACACGGCATGTGTGTAGTCTGTAGTGTGTTTGTCTGCACGTAGTCTGTGGAGTTTTGACATATATACATGTACGTGTAGTCTGTAAATTGTATGACATACGGGTAGTCTGTCGTTTAATATAATAGTTGCCCCGCCCAGCTCGCGTGACAATGCTCATTACAGGATAAATGTAAACCTGTGGAACGGGTTCTACTTAGCTTCATTTAACATTTGGACTCCGAAGAGGATCAACGCTACTCGGTCACGAAGACTTTCGCCCATTTTTCTCTCACAGGTAGGACACACATGTATTTTCTACACAAGTTCTAGATCATTGCAAAAGCATTCTTCTGCCTCTATAAATGCCAAGTTGTTATCTTCCCCAAGAATGTATTGTTTGTAGTGTAATTTGTGGGTTTATGGGTGTTATGATAAATGGTTCTTCTGTCTACTAAGAACAGTTTTCCTCTACTTGACGGAAGTAGGTCTCCATTGACTTGTATATTCTGGCCTTCCAATGCTTTGTGTTATGTGCGCTAGAAAATCACTTAAGCTTGAACTAAACAGCTTTTGTGTGATGTGTACGGTAATCTTAGTTTCTATCAGTGGTCCCACCTTTGTTGCCATTGTGTACAAATGCGCTCCCATTTAGAATGTTTGCAAGTAAAGTCATTTAATCGCTGACCAGAAGAGTTGAAAACTTGACATGATTGTTTGGAAATTGGAAAATGCCATAATAAAGCTAAATCTGCACTCCTGTAAGGACTAAGATAACTCATGTTGTCCAACATTTGTGACTGGATCCATCCAGTTGTAACCGGAACATTAGCGTCTGCACGTTTAACGATGGGGTGAATGAACGCACATACGTGACCACTTAATTACAGTTGACATGGTTTTGACAATAACATTCACATCAAAACAGCCAAACAGATTTATCATGTAATTTTTCACTTTTGAGTAACGCCTGCATGTGTAGCCAAGATCAGAAAAGACAGAGCATATCATGACTGGTAAAATCACAGACAACGCGACCTATGGCTCGTCTTTTGTTTGGTCTAAACGGTGCACACACCAATTCTTCCGCGACAGGGGCCACTGTAGTGCCCGGAAAAAAAGTGACGAAGGGGTTCCGATGGTTCATGTTTGAGTTTACATTTCTCATAATCTGCTGCAAAATGGGATTAACTACTAACATGGCTGGAAAGTGTAAGAAGTGGCGTGTTTTGGGTGAAAATTGATTTCGGGCCCGAGGCTTACTTCCGGGTGTCCTTCCGCCCTGAGCGCGGTGCTTCGGTTTGACCTAGTTTTGCCTTGTATGCGTTCTGGGGGTGCTGTAGCTATGCCTCGCGCGACGGGCTATTGTGATAATCTCAGTGTTAGGATTTTCTTGATACTTTTCTTAATAATACATAAGGGTTTTCTCTTTTCGTACCATATAAGTCATATTGGTGGCTAAAATCTGGGTGATGGGTTTAATTCCACGTGAAAATGGCCAATTTTTGGTATCATTTTTCAGCGAAAAATTCTTTTTCCCCCTAAAATTTACTAAAATGTGAGAGGTGAAAGAAATTGAAATTCTTTTGTTATCGTAGCTAGAGGGATATCCTTCATTTGCAAACAGAGTGTTTTGGCTTAAGAGGTTTTTCCTGAAAGAGACGGTCCCTAGAGTTGAGGTATGCAGAATCGAATTGAGACCCAAAATAAACTGGGGTGTGCCCCCTTAAATATGATAGTGTTTTTTCACTGATCGTAAAAATATACACATGCATGTTTCACTGACCATTTTCTGGTAGGACGGTTGTCAGAAAACAAGTATCGATCAAAAAACTGATACTTTTAGCTACAATTGGAGTCGTTATTGTACTTAATCCGGCTGGTCTCCCATAAAAATGCTAAAAAAATAAAACACTACATGGGCCTACGGATAGAAATTCCAGTTAACACCGAGACATAGTGTATACTACATACGATAGAAAATGGCTAAAACCTGCATACTAGGCAGTTCATTTTCACGAACGAATAGGAGAAATGTAGAGATGCGAGACAATGTTGTTTATCCGTGGGGTGACTGACATGCGTTACCAGCTTATTAATTATGATTGATCAATTATTAATACTCAATCTTAAATCAATAAAGACTATCCTTGTCCTTAGTTAGAGGTCAATGTCTTCTTATCGTCGACTTCAAAGGTTGTCCATTGGCAGTCACAGATAACAGAAAAAAATTTTGGAAAAGTACAATCCACAACGAGAAATCGGTGTAAATTTTCCCGCTTACAAGTAGAGCCACGCCTTAGTAGTCACTGTATTGTAGTGAAACCAGTGGACTGTGGAATACTAGTAGTCTGCACGAACTAACTCATTGTCATGTCTTAGCATTGTCTGATTTTTCTATGGACTGTCTAAAACTTGTCTTCATCTCATTTACTTATAAATTCTTTTTTATGAATACATTTTCAGCTACAGATTCCGCTAGTCATTGACGAAAAGTAGTGGATGTCACTTGAATTTGAACGTCTGACAGATCTCGCAATCTATCCAGTTGCTTGAGTAACTGCTTTCTTGTATAAAATCACATTTTTTTTCACTTTTGAGGAGCCCGGAATCCATCCAGTAGCTTGAAATTACATTCTGTTTAATATTTTTCAATTTTAAGGAACCCTTGCGTGCCTTAAAGGAACAGCTAAATGATGGAGTCCACGCGTCGTGACGTCACAGTGCTTGTTCCACTGTCCAAAGGAAACCCGGATAAGGAGGAGAATTTGCGGAAGTGTCCAACAGTACAGGTGAGTCATTACAGGTCATGATTTGTGCATATGTCATGTAGCCTATACTAATCTCCAAGCAGATTCAGGGGGGTCTACTAGTATATTGGCCGCCTGTAACCATCGGGGCGGCCAGTGGATACAGGCGGCCAATGTAGACTCCCCTTGCCCCATAGAATCTGCTTGGAGATTGGCCTCTATTATATAGAGTTGGAAAACGGCTGGAAAGAGTAGAAACTGGCTAAAAAGACAGATAACATCTAAGGGAGTTATCTTGACCTTGATACTCCGTACAGAAGAGAAAGTGTCCGCCTGTTATGTCCTGGTCTTTAATGGTCTTTAATACTCGATCACACTACGTACTTGTGTCTCACCCAGTGCTCATCTAGCAGTTCAAACTAGGTGTCCACTAAGGAGTACATTTTGCCACTGCCGTATCTTATCTTGTCATACACTGCCGCTTCTCACGCCAATTTTCCTATCGCCTTTGCCTCTACTCACCAGGTCAAGAACGTGATCTTCGACAGCATCCATGAAAAGGAGAATCTCATGGACTACGTTCAACGTCTGAAGAAGGTCGTGAGCGAGAACAACGTGAGCGTGGTCCTACCGACGTCGGACGTCTCGACGTTCGTGCACGCCGCCCTGGCGCGGGACTTCGCGCACATCCCCGGCCCCAGCGTCGAGTCATGCTACCTGGCGTTCCACAAACCCTACACGCGCCAACACCTGGACCTGGGCGAGACGCCCACCGCGTATGATGTCTTGGATCTGGACTCACCCACCCTGTTTCAAGATGCTGAACGGGCCTTGGAGAAAGTCGGTAAGAATCAAGATTTAACTGGTCCCTTTCCTAACAAAGACTGAGTGATGATTGCCTTTCACAGTGAAAACCACGCTTTAAACAACGCTTGTAGTTAGGTGTAACAGGTTGCTCGGTGTAATGTAGCCAGGTGCCGCCGGGCGGCGTGCCTGCACAGCTGGTGTGTTACTGTTAGGACGAAGTGCAGTCATGTCGGCGATGAAGATCCAGACAAGTGGAATGTAGTTAGAAGCGCGATGTAGTCAGACTACACCTGTTCCAGCCATTTAATTTTTTTTTCATTTGTACCCAGGTCTCCCTGCCTTTGTGAAGTCTGCCACAGCTACCCTGGCCTATGGTCTGAAGAAGATTGAAAACTACGACGACTTGAAAGATGCGCTCGAGGACTTCAAGACCATGAGAGACAAAAACCCAGACTGTCTGACCTCTCCCAGTGCAGCCTTCTACAGGTAATCACAAGTTTCAAAGTTTACCAGAGTTATTCAAAGAACTTCATTGCCTTGCGAACTGAGGCTTTCTTGAAGATTTCTTCTCCAAGATTCTGTAATGATACATAGTTTACATAAAAAATGACATACTTGACATGACTCTAAGTATTTTGTGATTTGTGTTCCTGAACCAGGGACTACTTTAAGGAGTATCTGGACGTGCAGAAGTACCCGCTGGCGCTGCGTGACGTCGTGCTGGTAGAACCGTTCTTAGACGCCGAGACCCTCTGTACCGCGGACGGGTGTGTGGTGGACGGGAAACTGGTGCACTGGACGGTGAGTTTCACACTGGAAAAAACAATGTTTTGTATTTCAGTATAATTCCTATGATTCCTTATAGTCCTTATATGTAAGTGTTTTTTTTTCTTTTGCATTCAAAGACATTCACATGTGCACACGTATGTAATTAATGTTTCCTGTACACCTCGCCCTCCACAGATCACAGACGAGCTACAGTATGACGGTCACGAGGCGAAGTTCACGTCCATGTTGGGGCCGACCAACGAGCCACAGGACATCCAGACCCGCATGTGGAGGATCTATGACCGCATCATGGACAGGATGATCCAGGCTGGCTTTAACGACGGTTATACAAACATCGAGATCTTCAAGATGAAAGATGGAACGGTATGTCTTTGAGAGCAATAAACAACAAAAGGCTGTACAAAAACATATGCATCAAACGAAGTCAAAGTGAAAAAAAGACACTGAAAATTATCGCTAATGCCACTGTTGCCACTGACAGTAGTCGGACGCACTTGCAAGCATCAGTAAGCATTGTAACTTGGTTACAAACTACCTGTTGATTTTTAACTACCATACTGTGCAGAACAGAAGTGATGAAATTATCCATTTTGAACCCTTGCAGCTGAGGTTGTGCGAAGTGAACGCCCGCGGTTCGAGGCTGGTTCAGGGCATCTACAAACAGGTGTACCGGAACGCGAACCAGGACTACGTGTACCTGTCAGCCGGTACCGGCATCGTGCCCGTCACACCCCCGCCTACCGGCCGGCATGGGGTCGCTTACATGGCCAAGTTTCTCGGGCTGGAGAGGCCGGGCAATCTCATGGACTTTGATAAGGTACTGCTGTCTTTTGTATGTGGAAGGGCAACCTGTATAGGGGCGTATGCACCTGTTTTGCCCTCCCTTTTACATTGTAGAAAATCCAAATAAACAAATGAAAAAAAAAACACATTGGTAAATGGGGGAAAATAGCTGAAACGCTGAAAACATTGCAGAGAACACTTTTGTCTGTTATTCAATATGTAACCATTATTAATTGTTTTCTGGTTTTATTTATCTTTTTTTTTATGTTCTACATGTCCCTTCAGTATAAGTTTTTCTCTGTGTGTATCTTATGTTTGTGAAAATTAAGAAAAAGAATGATTAATAAAAAAAATAAAAATAAAAAAAATCCTGATATCCATCCGGAGGTAGCCAATGGTTCATTTTTCTTATCCCTGTACCCCGTTTCTCCCCAGATTACCCAGCTGAAGTCCGATCCAGACGTGCACATCGAGCCGTACTTCGGTCGTGACGACGCCGTGCCAGACATCCCCGGGAGCGCCGGCTGTGATATCTGTTCCGTGGTCGCCTTCGGGAACGACCGGCGGGCCATGATGAAGAAACTTGTGGAGGTTCTGCGTCTGATCGTGAAGAAACCGGAGCGGCTGGCCTACCCAGTATCGGAGGAGAATATGATGTCCATTCTTTATTGATACGCCGTTCGAATTCGTTATTGTGTGTTCGGTTAATTGTTCAAGTTTCCATAACATTTAGATTTCATAATGAAGGGAACTTGTCAAACATTTTCGCACGCTCAGTTTTGGGGTGTCATATACAGTTTTGGGGTATCATATACAGTTTTGGGGTGTCATATACAGTTTTGGGGTGTAATATACAGTTTGGGGGTATCATATACAGTTTTGGGGTGCAATATACAGTTTGGGGGTATCATATACAGTTTGGGGGTATTTGTTTGTTTGTTTGTTTATTAAGATCTCCATTAGTATGGTGAACTCCATACTATTCTTCCTGGAGTCCAGCAAAATAAATAAAATAACAATAGTAATAATAATAATAATTACTTTTAGAAATAATGATAATAAATAAAACATACAAATTATGCTGAAATTATAACAAACTTGAAACAAAATCAGCATAGAGAAATAAAAGTGCATTGGAGATCAGAGGTCAAATAATAGAAATAATATGTTTGAAATGAAAGTAATAATTGATGTACTTGCTATCAATGCAAATTGAAGTAACAAAACAGTAAACAAATATTTGAACTGAACCGTTTTTTTAATGCCAAGTCTTGCTTCTTTATAAGATGGACTTGTTCGAGTGATTACATACAAAAAGTTAACATTATTTCCTGGCGATTAAAATACATGTATACACACACACACACGTTTACACACACATACACACAAGCACGCACACAAACAAAAACACACTCTCAAACACTCACACACACACACACACACACACTCAGACACATACTTCCTTTGCTTGAAGTGAAGTAATAAAGGTACAGGTCAGTGTTACTCAAAGCACTGCTTCATTTATTTCTGGCATATCATGGGATAAAAAAATATGTGGGAATTGGCACTAAGGCTACATTAGTGCAGCCTAGAATCAGAGCATGTACAATATATAGGTACTACAAGACACATCACAAGGCAATTCAATATGTTTCAACATCACATCCAATAACATCCAAACTACATGATAAATCTCATATTTAATGTACAAATGCCTCTGAGCCTGTATTGGTGCAGTCACTCAAAATACACACTATATCGCCATTTGTAAAGTCATGTAAATTACACGCAAGCATGTCTTTGTATATGCACAATCTGTGTGCTGAAAAATGCAGAGAGAAAAAAGATCTTACATGTACACAGGCACTATGGCACACTGCACTGCAGCTGGCAAATTATTCTTAATAAGACTCTATCTACGTGTACATTGCAGAGAAAAAACACATTGAAACAGCATCAATGTCATACAGACAAACCATGGCCGATGAGTTGTCCCAAATGTCAATTTTACACCAATTTCTCACAAGCAATCAACCACTAAAGCATCATTAAGAACCAGCAACAATTACATTTGCATAAAGGTGAGAATTAAGTACACAGGACTCCATGTTGAGAGTTCTACTAGCTCATTAATGATATCATTATGGCTTTTTTTTGTTAAAATCTGAACAAAACTTTCACTGGTGCTGACCCTGTCTTCAGATTTGAGCATTTTGAGCTCTTACATAGGCACACTAAGGCATCTCAACAGTTACAACATTACAGCTGATACTTTTGGAGACCAAGTGCTACCAGTATACATGTAGCTTTGATTCAACATTTCAAATTCTTTATCACAATGTACAACAGTAATTCTTTTCTTCATTACACACATAGCAGCATTCTAGCCAAGTGCACATCACTGGTATATCTTTTGTCTATTCTAGATTAAGGTCTGGGATACAAAAAGTAACATTCTTCCATCTTGTCTAAACATCAATACTAGAGAGTACAGTATTATCCTTTCCAAAACTAGATAGCAATGTTGGTATTTCATTTGGATGACAAGCGTCTTAGTACAATCTATTAGTATTACTACAGGAAAGGGGATGGCTGATAGAAGTGAGCATCAGCAGAACGTACTGTGCCTGCGCAAAACCCAGATTTTTCAGTTTTTGTTGGATGTTGAGTTCAAATGTTGCAGAGTCTGGTAATCACTCACTCCCACTGTAATGTATTGTTACAGTAGTAATGCCTCCCTGAATGACTATTACCCCAAACAGTAGAGGGAAAACTGAGTAAAAGGTATTCAAGTATTGTAACCATTGCCTAGATAGTGCTCCAAAAGTAGCTGTAGTTAACACTGGAGCACTGCGCTCTTATGCATAAAACTACAAAACCCCTACAATCACCTTTTTGTTCATTAGATAAAATTGCTTTTAGTATATGGCTGTGGAAGAGTACAGAATGTACAAAATGTCTATATACTATCTTCACTGTCTTCATTCTTTTAATTATAATTTTGGAATGTCTAGTTCTTCTAATTTCTCATTTGGCATATTCCGTGGGTCCTTTCATTTATTTTCCACATTTAGATAAAGATGTAGATTTGTATAGTAGTATCTTGAATAATACAAAGCTTCAAAACCAATAATGCCACACTCAGAAGCTTAAACATTACATTTTACATGAAAATAACTGTCTGGATTCCCAGTCAGTCTTGTCTGTATAATTATTAGCCACTGCAACATCAACATTTGTGCATATATGACGCAATACTCATTGGTACATTTTCACTCAGAATTGCACGATAAAAATATCTATTACATGTACATGGTATTATAATTCTATATCATGGCATAGTATTGGTGGACCATACAACATATATCCTCTTGGCTTCTCAAGCTTTTCTTTTTTACCTTTTTCCTCACTTTTATGATGCGCACATCAAATAAACAAGGATATCTGATTACAAATATACTTTGTTTCAGTTTTTACAATTTCCTATTAACAATTACACATCAACTTTTTTTTCAAATAGATGGCAATGAATCACTATATATGCTAGGGGTGAAAAAATGTACAAAAAGCATTCTTAGAACACAAACTTAACAAGCGATTCAAGAAAGCAATAATAAAGGCTTCTCAAAATCTCCGCTCTTAAGCAAGGTGAAATAACACAAAGACGTCAAAATTCAATTTCAAATTGATAGAACAAGATATCACAAACTGTCTCACAAGACAAGTGAACTCTTATTTATAATAAATGTAGACTATTTCCAACCTAACAACCAAAGGTGCACAGAGCTGCAGTACACAATGTAATTCTGTTAGTGTTGTTGCATACGATTGGCTGGAAGTAGAAGATCCAGGTTTGTGATTGGTTGCTTAGAATGGCAGATGTGCGAGGCAGTAACTCTGTTTGTGTCCTTGCATACGATTGGCTGGAACTAGTAGATCCTGGCTTGTGATTGGTTGCTTAGAAGAATGGCAGACGTGCGGTGTAATACTCATCCACGTCATCATCATCGTCATCACCCTCATCCTCAGCATCCAGCTGGAAAGACAAAATAACGTAAGTTATACTTGATAGGAATGAATTACTAACTGTAGTGGACGTAGTTGATGGAATTGTTTCTGCTGAATCTATAGCTATAGCATTAAGAATTGATATCTTCAATGCCCACCTTTTTTGGGGGTCTCTGTTACACTCACCATCTTATCATGTCACTTTGGGATAAGATACCTTCACTACATGTTTCACACACTAATCTGTATAACACATGTATATACGCTGGTGTATATGCTGGTGCACTGGGCACCTACGGGTACTGGGGGTCATTCTGTTGTCATTCTGTTGTGTACAGGATCAGAGGGAATACACTGTGCTGTTACACCAATTGAGTGGGTGGCAGTTTTTGTGTTCTTTGTGAGAGAGAGACATGGCCAGCTAACAAAAGTTACCATTGATAGTGCCGAATCTGTCTGTGCTCAAAACAAAGTTAAACTCTTCTATATACCTTTTCTATTTCACTGTGCATTGTTGGCAGTTACGACGTTGCACTTACGTAAGTCAAACCAGTGGAAAGTTACAGGACATGAAGTACAGAAAAAAAGTTCTTAGACTTCAAGAACCTGTTGAGGGCTAGGAGAGTGTGTTATGAGTTGTTGTATGCAAACAGTTACATCAACAGTTAAAGTCACAGACAGACATGTTTGTGTCCTAAACAACAGCTGCTACATAAATAAGTTCACGTACTGTACACAGCAATAGCATGCCAACAAGTTACATATACAGAAGCCAAGACATTGGACATCCAATGACAACAGAAAGAGATCTGTTATGTTAGTAAAACATCATAATTACACAGCAACAACTGCTAGCTAAGACATTCTTGGTTAATATTAATACTATACTAGGATAGTTAGTTTCAAACACTTAGTTCTCTCAGCATTGGTCAGTGTATTGGGCAGTAATCATAGCTAATAGCAGATGTCACTGGGGAGTTAAGTTTAACATTTTAATGAATCTTAGCCTTAATTTCATTGACATTATTTTGAGCTCAATCCATTGTGTCCTGTACAATGTACCTATCTTCTTGTGGTACTATCAGCTTAGTGTTGTGATTGGTAAATTGAATGCTAAATTTCAACATATGCTCTAATATTGAAACAACACACTCTACATTTCTATGCATTTTGCCCAGGATGCAGTTTACTGCAATCCTACAATTAAAGACTACAGTTATCTGTTTGTTTGACAGAGACATAGACTAAACTGAAACTAAAACTAAATGCTAGATTCTACAAGAAAAAAAATGCAGTTATTGTGTTGCTGTTAGAAGCACGCTAGGACAAAAAACAAACACGTTAATCAAGCAAAAGAATCTGGCAGACACTACGGGGAGGGGCAAGCACGTTGAATACCTCACGCCATGCTTACACATTGTAATTAGTGAATCCATCCTTCATTCAGTCATCATCATCCCTATCTGGATCCCTTCTAGAGGTGGGGTTGTCCAGCTATGGGTGGTTCAACATCAGATGTTAGAGACATGCTCAATATACATGTAGACTACTATGTAAGTCATGGTCCTTCTCATTTGTCAGTGACTGACTGCATTTTTGGGCCTTGGCAACTGAGAATGACATTGTGACAGTGCACTGTAGTGTTATGGTTTCTTCAACAGAAAATATTTTCCTGTATTTTGCTTGCAATGTACAACTGAGTGACTGTGTATTTTCCTTTGTACAGCACCATAAATGCAAAACTCTACCTACCTGAACCATTTTTATGCTGTATTCAATGTAATATGCCTAGTACATGTATAGTCCAGGGCTCTAGTCAGCTCAATTTTTTCCCCGTCAGCCCAGGTTCATGCTTGGACCTGGGGGAGAGTGTTCACAATCTAGGGGGGCCAGAGACAAATGTTGGATTTCCAAGCCTTTTAAAACACAATGCCCCACATTTTTGGAGGCAAATCATGGGATTCAGAATGGTTGGTGGTGGTCCTTTGGATGTCTCTACATCTATACCCAAGATTTTTGTCAATTTCGTCCATCAAGGTTGACGGATTGGTGTAAAAAAATGTTCCATCACATGCCACAAAGTTCCTGCAAGTGAAGGAAAAACGGTGCTGGCTAGAGCCCTGGTATAGTCTGCTATGTTCTGATTGATTGTCTGAAAGGTTGAAGGTGAACTTACTGCTTCCATCTCTGTCTCTGTGTAGAACCTCTTGAGGATGTGGTTCCTGAAGGGGATGAGCAGGATGAGGAGGAAGGGGAAGGCCAGGGCTGCCTGGGTGGACTTCACGATCCACAGCAGGGTGATGAACACCAGCTGGATCACTGTGAAGATGTGGATCTTCCTCGTTTTCACCTGGAGGAAAGAAGGGAAGAATGAATGTAAGAATGGGAGTGTCAGCAACTTGGGTAACCTCATAATCCATAGGATAGCAGCAGGCTTTGAAGCAAACTAAAAAGATTGTCCTTTGAACCACTCAGAGTTTTGTGTTTTAAAAAACAACAACACTGAAGACAATTGGGGACAAGTTGCAGCTGTTCATGTAAACTCTTATGATTCAAAGAATTTTGACTGAAAAATATTGGTTGAAGAGAAGGCAAGAAAGATAACACAGTTTTGCACATGAATACCATTCTTTCTTTAACATACAGCTATTAGGGGTTTAACATTCAAATTTCAGAGAAACATAAAAAAATGTCTAGAGCAATTCAGTCAGTCACACTTAAATTCACTATGAGTATCCTTGATGTTAGAGAAAACTTTTGAATTCAACTCTGCAATAAAAGCCCATTGCCTACCTTTCTGACATATCTCACACTGCTGGGATGGTGTTTAGGAGGCATGAACATCAGGCCGATCCTATCAAAGATCTGTGTAGCGGTGAGAGACGTGATCCCCAGGTACAGGAACACTCCAAACAGCACGGCTAGCGGGATTCTCCTTAGTACAGGCTGCAAGGTCATGGTTATTCCTGTACAGAGGCAGGGTAAAATGGTAATGAGAATGTATGCTTTGATCCAGTTTTAGCTCACTGATAAAGTCTTCTTCCAGCTGTTGTGACAAGAAGGACAGATACATGTACATGATTGTATACTCAATGTAGTATGTACATTTTCTATCTCCCTCTCTGGCCTACCTTAGTCAGTGTTAGATATATCTACCCTCAAACTTTGTATAAGGTCTCTCTATAAGATCTCAGGAGGCTTGCCTGTGATTTGAGAATAGAACATTTTCATCGTTGCACACATGCTTTGTTTGTATGCTTGCAATATGGGTTCTTTGGTATGGTAGAGCAGTCATCCCCTATTTGCAGAGGCAAAGCATGATGCTTTTCCTACAGTTCTTGTATTGACTATTGGGTAATACTGACTCATTTTCAATGATGTCACAGAATTATGCTTGGAAGATTATCATGCACAAGGTTCGAAGGAATATTTTTTATGTGTGATATACACATGCCATTGAGTAAGAGTTGACTCACCCATCATGATATGCACCAGCAGGTTGGTAAGTCTCTGTTCCTTCACTGACAACAGTTTGGGTTTCTCACCAGGAGCATGGGTCTTACTGTACACCGTCAGGCTCTCGAAGTGCGACACGGACCGAACAGTCGCCGCACACATCCACGGGAGCCCGAAGAACCCACTGATCGCCACGGTGCCACAGATTAACAACAGGTCCAGGTGGTAGCCGGAACCCTTCTTTAGATTGTTCTCCTTCTTGTTGATAATCATCCTACAGGGAAAAGAAGAAGAGGAGTTTTGTTAGTTTGTTTTATCCTTCGTTTTGATTAATATTATCTGTATAGCTGGTATATCCACCCTTTGGCTTAACAAGTACATCAGCTTCTGTATCTGTATAGCCAGTATAACTGCCTTTTGGCATAACACACCTGTCCAGCTGCTTCTGTATCTGTATAGCCGGTATAACCGCCCTTTGGCAAAACACACCAGCTTCACAGGCACGCGGCGTGGCAGCAGCTAGCTACATTATACACCCAATCTTTGCACATCTAACTGCAGGAGTTGTTTAAAGCTTTCTAGATAAGTAATAATGCCTTAAAGTAACTGTACTTGATGGCAACATTTATGCATGAAATACTAAAATCAGCCTGCTGGCCACTTTTCATTGAGGTCATAAAGGAAGAAGTTCAACTGGTCATCTGTCATCTGTGTCTCTTTAATAAATTCACTCATGATCAGTGGAAGGCCAGAAGCCACTTGATACTTGATTGCCTTTCCCAAGGCCACAACATCTGGGCATGTCAAGGCTTTGACCCCACAACCTCTTGGTTCCTGGGCAAACACTCTAGCCAATCTGGGACACAATGCCACTTGACCACATGCATGGCCATGTGTTTTATCACCCCTAGCAGCTTGTTTTCGTCTGTACCATGTGTGTAAACATCTCAGTGGCCTTGTTTTTAACTGCCCCAAGTGACATTTCTGGGCCACCAGGTGTTTGATGTAATAAATTTTCCCAGATAAGTTCTAGAAGGTCCAATCTGGAGAATTTTACATCTTTACAACCTGCAATTTAGATCTTCAGATTAATGAGTTTTTCAAAAACAACTTTGTCTAAATATAAAAACAAGTTATTGAGGCCTTCATATACTGTAAAAGTCATGTTTTTCAAGTTTCATGTTTTTCAAGTTTCTGACATATGTGTTTTAATTTTTACAATTTTTCAGATTCAAGCAGGTCTAGAGCAATGGGGAGCAAAGGTCTAAATGTAACGTAACATAACTTATTAAAGTCTAACTTAAAAGAAGAATAAATGTTCCTTTTTCTGGCATCACATATATCAGTGGAGTGATAATAAAACTTTCTGGTACAACAACTTTATGGACATTTCGTAACAATTGAAAAACAACAAGTCACAGACATACATACAATGTATAATTACAAAGAAGAAGATTTGTACTCACTCAGTGATCTGTATCTCTATAAACAGTAGGATATAGACCAGGAAAGCCGGGATGACGGCAGCGAAGATGGCCCAGACCTGGATGGTCTTGTCTCTCCCCATGGGGTTGATGATCCAGCTCCTCAGCTTAGGGTCGGTGGGAGTGAAGCCATCAGGGACCTCTAGTTTCTGAAACAGATAGGTAGGTACATGTACATGTAGGTAATAAGGTAGGCAAAGGTAGTTCCATAGCCTTTTTTAGGCCGTAGGGGCAGTGGGTTGTTGATACAATGTATTCAGGGCATGGTATTGAAAGATGGAGCCCATCCCTCTTTTTCCACTGCCTTTAACATTTGTGTACCTTCCCCAACTGAAGTTAGGTACCCATTTTACACATAGGTGAAAGGAGGAAGTTGTGTAAAGTGCATTTCCCAATGCAGTGTCTAGCTAATGCTAGGAATTGACCCCTCAACCTCTCTGTCTTATCTACTTCCTCAGTTAAATGACCATGTATTATACATGCACTGCATGCACATTTTTTATACATACTCTATGTACATGGATGTAGTGTGCACAAAAACTCAACTAGTGAACATGACAATAGACAGGGAAACAACATTTACCTGTGTATAAACATCCTGGAAGAAGAAGTCGATGCAAACCATCACCACAATGGCAATCAGAAGACCAAAGTCTCCAAGGCCTCTCCTGGCCTGCAAAAAAGAAAAAAATATAACCACTTACATGTAAGTTCTAGACTAAGTGCAGCAAGTCAATAAACTGCTAACTGTATGACAAAGAATTATCTTAAACCATGGATCAAAAAGTTGCAAAAAGCCCAACTTTTTGTTGTGTTGGGATTTACAGTTAAATCTTCAGCTTCAGAATAAATTCTACCAAGTTGAACACATACACAGATTAACCTTCCAGCAAAGTTAAACACATGGTACAAAGTTTATTTTTGTAATAAAATTGGAGTTAAATGTTGTTTCAGAATTTTGCCAAATTGAAACATAGACAAACTTTCCAGCAAAAGTAACAAAGCAGCCACGTAAGTAAGAGATGTAGGACTTACTCCACGACTGAGGAACTTGCTGTTCTTGAACTTCCTGAGGAAATACGCGACGAAGAATGTCCCGAAGCACAGTATGGTGGACATGAGTGCCGTGTTGGGCTGGTTCTTTATCTCCTTAGCCTCGTAACCGTCCGGGTCTGTGTATGCTGGGTACACTGGATCTAGCGCTGCGGGAACCACCGGGAACCCGGCAGGCATCGGCATTCTCCTGGAGTCGTTAGCACGAGGGTTGATGTACCCGTCTAGCGTGGGGTACGTGGTGTTGACCAGAAGGGATCCGTTTCTGTTGTACGCTGGTGCACCCACAGAGTCGTAGTAGTAGCAGTCAGAACACAGGGGGTTCTTGGTATACACCTAAAGAAAGGGGTAGGTACAGATTAGAGCTACAACAAAAGCTCAGAGACCTCATCATACCTCCATGAAATGTTCAGTTTTGGATGCTTATTGCACCATTTTCAAGACTATCCCAATCTTGACACATGCATTATGACATAACATTACTGTAACTTACAACACCCTTTGCATAATGCTACATTAACCATTCACACTAGCCTGTTTTTGCTAAAGCTACATGTATCTCCATTTATACAGTGTTGTAGATCCTTAATTTTACCATAATGAATACAGACCTTGGACAGAAACTTGAAGACTTCGTAGATGAAGATGAAGGAGATGAGGAAAGCAAAGACCTCCTCGGTGAAGCGTGTGACGTAGCGGACGAACACGCCGCCCTCGAACGCCACCGTGATGATACAGATAACCAGGATCCACAGCCCGATCCACAGCCGCCATGTCATGAACTCTATACCATTACTCTCACAGAACTGCACGGGAAGGGACATAAAGATTTTACAAGGTAAGTTAATCTTTTCGTGAGCTTTATAACTTTATAAGTATTGCGATCATGTTTGTTTTATGTTTTATTCATTTGCACAAAATATAAAATACAGCTAAGTAAAGAAACGTATAAAAGGAAAAACAATGCAGCTGGAGGGAGGGATCCTAAAAGGCTTTATACATGTACAAAGCCCTCTTCCTTCAAACTTAACAAACAAATAATAATCATAAAACTAATAATGATTATAAACAAGATTTGCACAAACCTCGTATAAACTCTGGTCGTACACCAGGAAGGGCCCCGTGGCTGCGATGATGATGATGGGCTGCCCTGCCAGCAGGGAGAACAGCCCTCCGCTGATCGCCGTGGCGATGATCATCTCTGACACTCCGATGTGGTTATGGGTCTTGTCACCTGGAGAGACACACAGATTTTTGTTTATTGTTTATTTGTACATCTAAAAAATGGTAAGGATAACATCAACAAGGTTTATCAAGCAGGGTTTCCCTTGAATGTGATTACTTATGGGTTTACAACTACATATATACCAGTACTGATTGTTGTAACACACATAGATATCAAACAAGCAAAATAATACCAGTAATATGTGTTATCTGTTATTACCAAGACACAAGATACAATTGTTAAGGCATGTGAGGACAAAGCTCAATGTTGTGGATGGAAAAATGCCTGAGTGAAAAAAACATCAAGCCCAGCCTTTCCATTTTGTAAGAAAATATGTGTTACAGGACACTCCAAAGTAGCAGCATCTCTTCTTCTCCCTCAAAGTCAGAAACATCATGATTGAGACCAGCTGAAGAAAAAGCAATAAAACTGATGCCTAACTCACTGAGTAAGCCGCCGAATGTGATGACAGGTGTGACACAGGTGAAGAAGATGAAGAAGAAGGCCATGAGGCACTGGAAGTTCAGCCCGTCCACAAAGTCACTGACGTAGTACGGGAACCTCCTCTGGATGTCCCTCTTCAGCCCCCCGAAACACTCCCCTGTCCTCTTCAGGGGGTCGTCTTCTGGTTCATGGGAGTGTGACTTCTTGAGAAGTCCTGGGGAGGTACAGTACAGATGGTGAGTCAAATGTCTCACAATCATGAGCACTGTTGGGCTTGAAACACTTGTAGAACACCCACTATTGTATTCTTCTCATATTACAGATCTGAAAATAATGTACAAACATGTACATTTTACCACTACAAAGGGACCATCTGATGTGAAGCCACCTTTTGATGATCCAGTTAGGTTATTTTTCTCATTGACTTAATCATCAAGAATCCTGTCTATAGTGGCCACCTGTAGTTGATTCTGTATTCTTTGACTGGTCACTGTTCATACACTAGTAGGTTTAGCTGTTAAGTCATCTTCAGTTACTGAGAACCCACCAGATCCCCTGACCAAACTCTTGTACAAAAAAAATAAACTGACAGTATATAATTATCTTTAATCTTGATTCAACCCACAAAACCTTCTGGATGGAAAATTATATTCTTATAAAATTATTAACGATTAGCTATTTTCCTTCAAATATGCTGAAACTGTCAATTCTTTTACATTTACTAAAATTTAACTCACCGTCTGTCTCCTCCAGCATTTTTTTCCTCTTCCTGAGTCGCTTCCTCTGCAGCCGTGCGATTGGCTCCAGCAGTCGTCTGTCGAAGTCGCCGGGAGGCAGCACGATACTGTCCCCCAGGAACTCGTTAATCCCCCGCAGAAGGTCGCTACGATCATCCGCTCTGTACGCCATCTCGTGGAAGGTCTGAGGGAAAGACGTTACAAAAATGATGACTTCAACATCGCTACACGTAAGTAAGGAGGTACATGTAGCATCATTTCCACCTTATTCACTGGAAAAAGGTCCCTTACTTAACAAAATGTTTGTCGTCACATCACATTTCTCAATCCACTGCATGAAGTTAACTCTTCACACTATAGGTCATGTCTATAGATTTACATTGTACATGATGACTCTCCAGTATGGAGTATATATTAGATAAATGTAGAATTTTCAAGATTCAAAGAGACATCTAAACCATTATGAGGCAAAGTAAACTGAGTAGGACAAGTCTGCATATTTTTTTTAATGACTCAGTCCTGGTCTTAATTTGGACTACGTATTTTTACTGCATATATTTTACGCTGTGTCCTTACCTCATTAGCCATGAGTGTGGATATGGAGCGACCGATCTCGTTATAGTCTGTGACTCCACTGCTGGGACCCAGCAACACAAACAGGAACCTCACAGGGAGGGGCACGGCAGTCAGGGTGCCAATCTCTGCTCCCTGAAGGTAACACAATAGGGGACATTCTATACCACACCATTTTTCAAGGACTTACATGTATGCGCTTTACAGAATGGACCTAATATTGCGGTAACTATTGTACAGTACAACTGATTTGATATAAATCTGAATTCTTAAATACATGTAGTATGGAATATTGGATGTGTACTGTGTAGACCTCACTGTAATTTGTATTTCAACATTATAATATTACAATGTCTTGGATCTTGAATGTCTTTGAAGCCCAATGGATGCTGAAGCAGCCTTCTGATGCAAATTTAAAGCATGATGTAATGTCCTGGTCCATTAGTTACAGGGTTAACCTTAGGCAGCATGGAGAGGGTTAACTTAATCATACATGTATATTATGTGACCTGAAGAAAACTACTGGAAAAGACCTAACCTTCTCCCTGTTGCCTTAACCTTTATAGAATAGATTATAGCCAAATAGCTAGTTCAGTGTGCTACAGGTTAAAATTAAAGCTTTTTCTTGGTTCCCCAGCCAGCCTAGCCAGCCTAACGAATGCTTATAATAACTACATAAACACCTTTAGCAAGCTACAGATTAGAATGTTTTATCTACTCTCCAGTGCCTTACCCTTGCCAGCCTAACGAACGCCATGGTAGGTTTCTCCAGGAAGTCCACAGCTCCCACCAGTACGGTGGTGGCCTCTGCGTCTTCTGGGATCTTCTTCAGGATGGGAACCTTAGCCTTGATGTCCATCTGTGTGCTCTTGGTGCTGAGGGTGGACTTGGCTGTGGGGGACTTGTGGATGGGAGGTGGGGTGATAGGCACTGGAACAGAGAACTGGGGAAAAAAAGGTGTTGATTTTTAGATTTAAAACTTGTAGGAATATTCAATATACTTTGTAAAGAAGCTAAAGTTAAAATGGTGCTTTGGACATGGACAAATGGAACATTGTATAGTGACCTGTAAAATGTAAAACATAGAAAGTGCACCTATTGTTAGAACATTGAATGTAACTTTTGAAGAAAAACTAAACTGAAACTTTGCATATTTTAGTGAAGATCAAAGTACAAAATGCAAGAAAAGTTATGTAAACTTTGGTATAACTGTGCGCTTAATCCACTGTCAAACATCAAATCAGTGTACTATAACTCTAATTAAAAAATACGAGCTAGCAACATTGTAACATTGATTCAGTAATAAAACAGTAAACCCCAAACACACAACACAATTGGCAACAACATTAAACAAGCTGTTAACTTCACCCACCTGGTTGTTGTTATCCGGTAGGTTGACCTTCAGCCCTGCCTCCATGGTGTCCAGACTGGTAGCGGAGGGACAGCCGGCCGAGTACTGACTGGCCGACGCCATGCTGTCCTCACGGTGACCCAGGAAACCCAGCAGGCTGCCTGATGAGAAGTTATACGGGATGACCTTGTGCCGCTTCTTCTGGTACAGATGGCTGGATGGGAAAAGAAGAGTCAAGGTCATTCTAACTGGTCTCTGGTACAATGCTTTCTGTTTTCTTAAAAACTGTGGCTTCCCAACTTAAGGTTATACGGGATGTTTGTGGTGTTTCTTCTGGTAGAGCTGGCTGGCTGGTCTGTGGTATCAAATGTACCGTCAAGTTTCTTGCTTTCTTAGATCTTTTTTTTCAATAATTATTGTACAAGCAGTAATCTTCACCCCCCTATGCCTGAAATTTTGTCATTTGAAACAAAATTGTGTTAGTATCTTAAACCATATCATTACAAACCCAGTACACGAACCAGTACAGGTTACGTGCATCAGAATCAGAAATACCTGGACAGCTCAAATTTTATCTCCACTAACCTGCATATGCAGGTGGGATTTGAAACACTGTACCTGTGCTTAAGAAGCAGAGCCCTCATGATGTCCCCCCTGTCCTCAGGTCGGACCTGGTCTGTAATGATCATGTTCTCCACCACATGGTGCATGATGTTGGGCAGCTCTGTCTCATTCAGGTCCAACAGCACTGAGCCTGCAGACCAAGGAGAGGAAAAACAACTATCAAACTGCAATCATGTATACTCTATATGAGATGTTGCCTACAGAATTTCTAATTTCAATTACTAGAGTAAAAAGAAGTTCATTCTAGTGATGCTGAAGAATTATGAATCAGATGTAACTCAAAACATCAATATCCAGAAGTAATCCAGTATTTTATCCAGAAGCAGAGTTTGAATAGTATGACTACGTACTAACAGCAGGATGTACATGTACATACATGTTATGTATCAAAATACAATGTATATTATCTGTGGTGCTAGAAGCCAGTGACATTGTCATGTTCAACTTTTTTTTATTGCTCAAGTTTTTTTCAAGTTTTAGTATTGCCTAGACGTTCTGCCAGTTCATTTTAGTAATACTGAAGAAGAGTGATAATGTCTGTATCTATCAGTTAGAATTGTCTATGCCTGCCCACCTTGTTCCAGCCCCTTCCTGAGCTCCAGCAGACTGTGGAAGGATAGTGAGGAGACGTGAGGTTTTCCCCAGCGCTCCGCTCCCTGCTGCACGTCCTCCTCAAACTTGATCCAGCGAGCGCTCTCACACCACACCAGCTCCTGCTGTTCTCCCTCACCTGACGCATGCAGCGTGTCCAGCTCTACAAACACCTGGGCAGGTGGGACAAGGTTTAAGACATTATCAATATGTTTACAGCAGAATGAATGGAAGACCTGTCTAAGTACATGGCATGATGGTAAAGCAGACTGAAGTAAAAAAAAAACTGTGATATCTTACTAAAACTATACACTCAGACTAATGTTAAAGTCTGCTATTCTATAGTCTCAAGTTCTTGTTGCGTCTTAGGGCAGTTGTAGATGTATGAACATATGGAGCATATGATTTGTCTCTGACGGACAAAAATCAGTATGTAAGGATATGGAAAGTGATGTCTTTAAAGTAAGATAAATCTACCAGCAAAACATGCCCCACAAAATGCAGGAAATAGAATTTCAGAGGGTCAAGATTTCAAAATCTCCCAAAGGATTGTCACACCCATTCAGTGCTCAACATGATAAGGCTGGCTAGAACAGGACTTTATCTTGCACTTTTAATTGGCAGTCGTGTGTACCTCGTGAGGACTCTTGTCCCAGGTCTTCTTGGCTTCCACTGAGATCTTCTTCTGAGGTTTGCTCTGTTTCCCGATGTAGACCATGGAGCTGACGTTAGGCTTCTTAATCCTGTGTCTCCTCCGACCCGGAACGTCTTCCAGACGATGGCCTAGAAGGAGGAAGAAAAGGATTCGATCAGGTTGGTAGTCCCATACATGACCATGACAGTATATTAGAGTGGATTCATTTCTCAAGCTAACCAACAGGCTAGCAGGACACGTTGTCGGGAGTTCTAAATGGGAACTATACGGCAGGAGTTATAAAGGGGAACTATGCAGTTTTCAGATAGCTTTAAGTTACTCAAGGACAACTGCAGTGCGATAGAAGTTGGTTAGCTTGAGGAATGAATCCACTCTACTACAAGACTAAGTGTAGACTTAGTGTATATACTGGTAGTCCCATAGTCTGTGCGCAAGTAAATTGTTCAAATCCATTGTGTAGCTTGGGTATGGTATACAAAATTTGTGTTGCAGATACACCTTAAAGGAGTACTAACCTCCAGAAGGAGGTGCTATATTTCGACAGGCATTTATTTTTGGAATTGAAAAATCCATATTATTTTACAGTATACAATTAAATGCCCATTTTGCGCGCAAGTCTTAAAACGCATCGAATCCAGGACAAACTCTCCAAATACCCTCAAAACTATCCCAGAATACACCACGCTACCCCATTAGTGTCTATGTTTTAAACAAAAAGTTACGTTACAGACCTCATTTCGGGGCGATAAGACAAATTCATACCGTTTTGTGTTCTTTGGTATCTTACCAACCATTGCCCTTCTTGGTGTCCTTATCGCCCCTCATTTATGCCGCAAATATTGACGATGAAAAAAACCGCGTAATCTAATTATCTGTTCAAGTGATACTTACATGCAAATAAGTTGAGAAAATCAAAACACGCAGGATGAAACTGGCTCCCACTGTATTCGACATCCTGATATTATAATATCCAAGCCACAGGTCAAGCAAAGTAAAGCAAGTAATTTCTCAATCATCAGCTTGTTAGTGTGCTTGTCTCCTACCATTTTCCCCGAAAAATGTTTATGTTGACCTGAAGTGTATGAGTATTGCGTAAGCCAGAATTCCCGGATGTATCAATTGTGGTTCAGCATGGGGGAAAATGATATTAATATCACTTTACAAACATGCTCCGCTCAACTCGTACAAGCGAAATTATGTAAAAAGTCGGCTAGTTATGTATTCATTGCAGCATGATGTATCGGAAAATAGCACTTCCTTCTGGAGGTTAGTACTCCTTTAATCACAAGATACAGGGGTTCGAAATTGTACTGCCTTTACAAACTTTAAAACTATATAATATATACTCACTGATCATCTCGTTCAGATCTGGCGTGAGAAGTTGCTGAGCCTCCTCATGTTCTGTCGGCATCTTGTGGTAGATCTCAGCGTCCATCTTAGTCATACTGCCGATACGCAGTCTGTCCATGGGGGTGGGCACCTTCTTATGGTGATGGTGATGATGATGGTGATGCCCATGGTGGTGTCCATGGTGATGTCCATGGTGATGTCTGTGGCTCTTCTTCTTGAAGGAGTCCTTGTTGTATGATGTTTCTCGGAAGTGTGGGATCTCACTGAAATTTTCAGAATTTACATAATGATTGAAATTTACCTGCATCATTCAGAATTGAATATACAATGTATATGGATCATACTAAAAACTGTAGTTCAGAAACCTTTTCCATTATGTCTTTTATACTTTATTGGTGGTAACCAAGTACATGGACCAGTGCAGGTTAGGTGCAGGTAGACATCTGAAATACCTGCACAGCTCCAATTTAACCTGTGCTAACCAGAAAATGCTGGTCACCATGGTATTTTGAGCCCTGCATATGGAAAGAAAAACACTTACTTGATTCTGTCCTGAGCTTCTGAAGCCTGAGCCTCTGCATCTGCAGTCTTCACCAGGTCAAACACTGTGGGAGGTTCCTCATCTTCCTCCATGTCTCCTCCTATTATAAACTAAACACAAACAAAAAAAAGATACATTGTAGGTTTCCTTAGACTACTGGTAAATAAATAATATCTTGTAATGGAAGATGATTTTCAAATTGTCATACTTATTTGATGTTTATTCATATCTCAAGTTTTCTCTCTCTCTCTGTCAGTCAGTCTCAAAAGACCATGCACATACTCAGTATACAAGGACAATGATAATTATAACGTTACAGTGAAAAAACATGCAGGAGAAACTATTAGCTATTTGATTTTCTAGGGCCTCCCCCAGAACTTAAAATATGAGAATGCTTGCATTGTAGTATTACATACATACATAGTAAGACACTTACTGTTGCTTTTTTCTGTGGGCCTGTAGCATCCGTGTCTCCTGTGTCTCCTGCTGCCACTGAGTCAGCCCCGTCCAACGACTTCTGTGAGCCTTCACGATTCTTCAGGGCCGAAGAGTTCTTAAGGATGCTCTTCAGTTCTTTGGAGGAATTCTCTCTACTGATGTCACCCCTCAGCAGGGCTACCTGACTCGGAGACGGGCGGACTTTGGAGTCTGCGTCTGAGTCACTTTCCCTTCCAGAGTCCTTCCGAGCTAACACTTTCGCCAGAGCAGCCTTCGCACTTCCTGAGCTCTTCAGAGATTCTTTGGACGAACTTGCCTTGGGCGGGGCCTTTGTTTCAGGTTCTTCGGCAGAAGTTGATGCCTTTGGTGGCCTTTCTTCAAGATCACCACTTCTAGAACCCTCAGGAATTCCTTGGACACATTCGTGGTAAGACGGGGGTGCTTCGTGAGACTGTGCTGGAGAAGCTGGTTCTACGGACGGTTCCTTGCAGAGCTTTGTTGTCAGACTCTCCACACTCGCAGCCTCCACTACTACGTCAGGAAAACCTCTCACCGCTGCCTCGTACGAATCCGTTCTGACAATAGAAGCCTTCCTGTCTTCGGGTGGAACAACTTTCTCCTCTGTCTCCTCTTCAATATCTTCAGATTCCACTTCTACGGTAACCGTGGTTACATCACGAGGTGTTTCTTCTTCTTGCGGAGGTTCCACGCGAGGCCGCTTGGGTTCTTTGGTTTGTTTGGGAGAGTCCTTCTCCTCCGGTATGGAGATTCCCTTGGGAGGGAAGTCCTTACCGAAGGAGGGTGAGGAGTATCGGCGGTGGATGTGGGTCTTGAGAGGATGGTGCACATGGAGATGGACATTCCTGTGGGCTGTAGTGTAACAAACACGGGTTTTACTGTAAGCAACTCATTTCAGGCTCTAGACAAAATAGAACAGGAAAATTCTTCATTTCCCTACAGGTTTTCCTCTTCCTTTATACTTTTAACTTTATACCAGAAGTTAACCTTAAGCTTAATGGAGAATCAGAAGTTTTTCATCAGCCTTTGAAAGCATTAAAAGTTTTATGGTAAGCATCTCTTTTTTTCAGAGACTAAATCTGATAGATGAGGAAAGATAGAATTTACAATTTACTGTTATGGCAAACTACCTGAATTGTGTATCAAATACAATCTTTAAAAAATACATATACATTGGAGCAAACAACAAAATATATTACACAACTTGACAAAAATTCATATGCCCTACAGGATTGCCACTGAAACAACTTTATCCTTGAAGTTTACCTTCCTGATAATAAAATGAAAACTAGAAGGTTTTAATCAGCCATTGAAACATCACACCACATAAAAGATCAGCCCCTTAATACCAGAATCTTGAAAATGAAGCCTGTGAGACATTAGACACACATGTAAGATAAGAAAATGCAGCAAAAGCAGGTTAGTTAGATCTGCACTTGAGGCATTGCCAAAAAGCGCCAGGCAAGCAGATACAGAAATGTCCTCAGACAGAAGAGACTTACTTTCCGGACTGTCCCAATCAAATCTTCTAGTGGGGCGGGGGCTAGGGGTGGGGCAATCTCTGATAATGGGGAGGGGGGAACGGGGGGCCTCTGAGAGGGGGTGGGGGGTCATAGTGAGAAAATGAGGATGAAAAAGGCACCAAGGGAAAGCAAGACACAAGTTGAATAAGATCTAAACAAGGAGACACTGATTAATTAAAAAGATCAATAACTATTATTAAGAACAATAAGAGTAAAATGTCTGATTAGAAGAACTGGTAAAGATATGAAAAATTGACAAGATTAAAAAGCTTTCTGTAGGTCAGTTAAGTGGAGACTATGTTATAAGAAAAGAATGAGCAAAGGAAGAGAAAATAACAAAAAAAAATTGGCCAATAAATATATTAGATCGAATAGCAAAGTTCTTTTTTCACAACCACAAACTTCTTTGTTTAACAAGAGCTGACGTTTTGATGATGTTCTGTCATCTTCATCAGGGCAATCATGACTGGTTTACTATGCACTGAAGCTACCTTTGTACATGTAGGTAATTTCTGTTTCACTGTGCACTGTTATAATTGCCAAGATGAAGATGACAGCCAATAGTTAGCTCATAGTGAACAAAGAACTTTGCTATTGAACCTTTCACCAACCTGATGAAATTATCCACAGAAACAGATTAGATCTTAGGAAAAGAAAACTTACCTTGATAGTCGTCTTCATCCACATGCAGTTGTTTGACCCTGGGACTACTGCGGCTGGGTAGTGGGGAGGTTGTAGGCAGCAGGGGGAACTTCTCCACTGGGTTCATCACCTTGTTCATCTGGTCCTGCAGTGATGGGTGCCTCTGCCGGGGGGCGCTGCTGCTGGTGCTGGTCTCAGCCATAGCGCCGCCCACTTCAGCCTGGACCTGAAAGTGTACAATCATGTATGTGTTAGGGTAGTCAGAATCATCAAAACACATTAGCCATATAACAAGGCCACTAAAGGTAGTGGGTTCTTTGAGGTGCTTGAATGTTGTGACTTTTCTTTTGATGTATACTACAAATGTAAGTTAATGTCCCATCCAAAAGACTGCAGCCTTACCAGTGGATTGCTACCGAATGTGTGTGGATAGGGATTGCAATCTGATGACAGAATCACCCATGATTCTGCCAGTAGAGATCCTGATCTGAGTTTCTGTCAAGTTGGCTGGTTAGATCATACTGGACAACCTGTCATACCTTTAAACCACCTGCTACATGATGTACTTGCTTAAAGCTGGAGGTTGCCTCTACTGTGGGGTTGGTGGCAATGATTTCTACTCTATGATAGTTCTAGGAAACAACAAATTTTTGAACACGTTAATCCTGGGTTGATAATTCTGGAGTCAGGTAACAAGGCTTATCAAGGTACTTGAAGTGTGGCTTTTCTCAAATACAGTTAAATTTTAAGTAAACATCCCATCCCAAAGACAGCAACACTACATACCAGTAGATTGCTACCAAATGGCACACCACAGTTGAATTCAAGGATTTTGAACCATTGACCAGGATTCAAACTAACTTCTCACTCACAAGCCCCTTCTTGGAAAGGAAAGGATTTCATGATTTCGATCCAGTTTTAGCTCAATGAAGAGCTTATTTTCCACTGGACACGAAAGAGAAGACAGATGCTATGTACAGTATACACAGCTTTCATTGTACCAGGGAAATTCCCCTAGCTCTTTTTGACAAGCACAATGAACAGTGGACCACAGCTTAATGTCCCATCCTAAGGACTGCAACCCTTTCCAGTAGCGTGCATGTCAGGTGAGTGAAAACAGCCGGGATTCAAACTCCCAACCTCTTGGTCCAAAGGCAGGGTCACTAATCACTGCACTACGTATACACACGCTGCAAGTGGAAAGCCCTTGCATGTACATTTACCTTTTTCCAGGTACATGGACCGTGGTTGAAGAAATATGGAGATATATCGTCAGGCTGAATGCCTAGGGTCAAGGAAGCCAGCATGTTTCACAAGCAGGAGAACAAAGTTACAAAGTTACGTAACTTGAACAGGAAAGAAAAACACCGAAAAATACATCTGCGTATACTGGTTTAACCAAGGAGGTGGAAGACAGAGTTGAAAATAGAGAATGATATATTGTGTATAGGCTTAACAGAAGAAATAGAGATAAATTGTAAGGATTAATTATTATAAATGCTTTGTTTTCGTTAGGCTTGGAGACAGGGTGATAGCAACCTTTATAAGTAGACTGTATCATTAATATTAATAGCAGCTTTCCTGACATTTTGGTCACTTTAATACTGATGGAGGACTCCTGCCTTTCCAGTTACAGATCAAAGATAGTAACTAAGTATCAAAGGTTCATATTCTGGACTTTGCTCAAAGAAGACTCTGTTCAAATAAATGCATTCCGCAGATCCACTTGAAAAGCTAAAAAAAGACTTTGTAATTTCTAGTACATTTATGTTGTAGATATAACATGGAAAGTAAGGGTCTCCGGGTTAACATGAAGAAGACTAAGATCATGATTTCAGGTCAAGGTCTGAACATACTGAGGGACACTGGCTCCTTTCCGTGTGCTGTGTGCCGTTCAGGTGTTGGTGTGAACTCCATCCTCTGCACTGAATGTGACTTCTGGGTGCACAAGAAGTGTTGCGGCATTAGAGGTAGTCTGTCTGCTGTGCGGAACTACATATGCCCTAGGTGTCGTGGTGAGGCAAGACCACTGGATGCTCGCCCTGTAACACAAGTCACAGTGGATGAGGTGGTGCTGGATGTGGACCCAGCTTCTGTTACTTGGGGACATGCTCTGTGCGGGTGGTGGTTGTGAGCTAGCTGCCACCACCAGATGCTGCGTCGCCTGGGGAAAGTTCAAGAAGCTGCTGCCGATCCTAACCTCCGGGCACCTTTCCCTCAAAACCCGTGGCAAGGTGTTCAGCTCCTGTGTACGATCAGCCATGCTGCATGGGAGTGAGACATGGGCCCCTACTGCTCCAGAACTCCAACGGTTGCGCCGCAATGACAGATCCATGGTCAGATGGATCTGTGGTGTTAAACCTCAGGACATGACTCCTTCTGCAACCTTGCTTGCTAAGCTTGGCCTGGAAGACATCAAGTCTGTTGTGCAGTCACGCCGCCTCCGATGGTACGGGCACGTTAAGCGTGCCAGTGGCTGCATCAACACCATCGTGGACTTCAAGTTGCCAGGCAGCAGAGGCCGCGGCAGGCCGAGAAAAACCTGGGTGGAGTGTCTCCGGAGGGATATTAAGGAGTGTGGTCTGTCTAGCACAGACCCACAGGACAGAGCCAGCTGGAGGCGAGGTGTCCAGAACAGCCGTCTGCTGCCCACCCCTGGGACAGGGAAACCGGCAGCAGAATAATCTAAACCAGGATAGTGAGTGTGTGAGTGATATAAAAAAATGGTGATTTGAATAAACCATTCATAAGTATCATCAGTTGAGGATTGAATGACAACGCTCCAGTTGTAGAACAGGTGAATTAGTTTGACCTCGGACTTTGTATCACGACAATCCAAAAGCTCAAAACAACAAGTGTTGGAGAATGGATGACAAACTGTCCAAGAAATTTGTACATTTGATTGACAAAATTTCATTAGCACATTTTGCAAGATGGAAGACTTAATAGTTTAAGTCTATCAGTCACTCACAACAGCTCTCTTCCATTTGCTTGTGGTTCCTAAGCTACATAATTAACACTACATGTAAATTGACTTGTTCACTGATCATGACTAATTACAGTGTAAGAGATCGTAGCTGTTACTTGCAGTCTTACCATAATTCTGACACAAAGTCATGACGAAATTGCATCAGCATGCATGTAACTACATGTACATGTACTGTACATGCATGATTACAATGTAAATAAAATCTTAGTAACAGTTGCTTCAGTCAGAGAGATTTGGCACCAGTAAATGATGCTAAACTCAAATCTTAACAGGTTTTAACACTTACTAGTAAGTGATGAAGACAGTTTTGGGGGCATGCTGGTTTCCGTGCCCCCAAGGAGCTCCTTGCAATTGGTGCCCCTAAGAGCGGTTCCAACTCTTCACGATCGGCCATGATTTTATCGGCAGAAACTGTGAAATGAAGCGCCTTGCTTCTCACTACGTTAGTCATTTACACCGAACAAATAAAAATGGGATGATCTGACAGGGTTTTGATAGCTGAGTCAATAATACCTGTCAGGATGTTCTGTCAAAGGTTGATAGGTCTCCACCTAAGGCTAACAACGCTGGCTGAAAACTAGTTAGATTTAGCCAAACAAAATTGAAGGTAAAGGCCACAGAGGCTTTTTGAGGCCGTAGGGGCAGTGGGTTTTTAGTCCACCATGTCTAGGGCACAGTAATGGAAGGCAGAGCCCAAACCTCTCCTTTCATTGCCTTTTACCTCCCTAACTGAAGTGAGGTACCCATTTTACACCTGGGTGGAGTGAGGAAAGTTGTGTTTCTTTTCCTCTTTTCCTAGGGAAGCAACAGCCAGGGATCAAACCCAGGACCTCACGATCTTGTGTCTGCTAGCCTATAGCTAGCCACTCTGCCGTTTGATGTCAAAAGGGGAAATATTATCCTTACAACAAGCTCTCAATGGAAACCAGGACTTCATGGACAAATTCATGGCATTACACTCTATGTCTCAGCAGGTAAGAGGAGGGTAAGTTAGTGGTAAGTAGATGTGCGAGCCCAATCAAATAAGTCACAAAATCTAAATCAGGTGTCAATGAACCTTTTTCTCAATCACACAAAGTTATACATTTGTACGTGGCAAGTATGATTCATTTAGATGTGTGTGTGTTATTTGAGTGTTTGTGTTGTGTGTGTGTGTTGTGTGACTGTATGTGTGTATGTATAAATGTGTGTGTTGTGTGAGTATTTGTGTTGTGTGTGTGCTGTGTGACTGTATGTGTGTATGTATAAATGTGTGTGTTGTGTGAGTCTGTGTTGTGTGGGTTTTTGTACATGTATTGTGTGTGTCTATAGTGGTATGGTAAAGTTTTCATGAAGAAAGTAAGTTTCTTTAATGTGGCTAATCAGCAAAACTACTAAACAAGCTGTATTTTTTGTGCATGTCACGGCCTATCTACAATGCACACGTCTGCGCAATAAAAAATGTGTGGATTGTCAACAAGGCGTTTACTAAACAAAAGGACACCAAACAAAACGCAATCTTGTGGTCTGAGCACCACCTCCCCAATCCATCTCTGACAAACAAAAGAATAGGAAACAAACAATTTATATTGCCCGGCTCAAAGTCCGGCGATGTGGCTCTTGGTGTTTCCGATAAGCCTATTGAGATCCTCAAGGATTCTGATAAACCTCATTGTAAATATCTGCTTTACAAGACCAATTTGTCAGGGGGCTCTTTTAAGTGTTCCGCTGCTGGCAAACACAGACATGTCACGTAATGTTATGTAACATGTTTTTTTCACTGCTGAACCTTGACATTCAACAGAAATTCCTTGTCTGTGAAAGTTTTTGCCCTATAAATTTCTTCCATTTCATGAAGGTTGATCACATTTTCTTCAAAGAATCTGCTAGCAGGCTCTTCTAAGCATTCAACATGTTCTAATACATCCTTAACAGTCAAAAGAAAGTCCTTGTCTGTGAACGTTTTTGCCCAATAAATTTCTTCTGTTTCATGAAGAAAACAAGGTCAATGATTTTTCCCTTACAGAATCTTCTCAATAGCAGGTTCTTTTTTCTTCAATGTTCTGACATGTCCTTGACATTCAAAAGAAAGTCCTTGTCTGGAAATGATTTTCCCATGTAAGACACTTATCGACACTTAAGTATCGACTTCAACTTTGTCTGACCTTTGCCATACCTGAGTATGGTTATAAATCATTGCTTGATTGATCACCTTGTCAGAGTGCTGTTGTTAGCCTTAAACTGTCCAGAAATGTGTGCTTGAAAACAAGCTTTAAGACTCTCCTTGACCTACTCCAGTTCTAGTAGGAGGCCTAAACTACACACAGGTGACAGTTCGTATCTTTGTAAGACATGTAGTAATTTGCAGCTCTTAAGTCGGAAATGTTTTACTTCCACACTAGTTGCTGAATTACATTGTAGGTACAGTAAGGTGTGATAGTGGTGCTGTAATCAGGTTCCAAATTTGGAGGATCGTCACAACATTTTAACCCCAATTGCCTGGAAGATGTGTAAATCATTGTGTGGGGCAACTGACTAACATTACTATTAATACAGAAAATATACATAATATTATACAGAAAATATACAATTTGGTGAAAAAGATGTACATGTATATATTATATCAGTGTTCGAAATACCCGTCTGCAGTCTGCAATTTGCAGATAGACTTTCAAGATTGCAGAAGAAAAAATCTTACAATCTGCAATTTTGCAGAAGGAAAAAATAGGCTTCGGATTCAATAGTTTTCAATTAGTAAAGTAGCGGCGCTATGAATAGATTGAAAACCTGCGCCGCTCGAACCTGCCGCCGGCGTTTTCCAGCAGACTGTAATGGTCCCATATAAGGGAATTTGGGGTCAAAGTTGAACGATTCCGACAAGGCGACGAAAACCAAATATGGGCCCTCGGCATTTTCCGATGTTAGATTCCGTCACCCGGGAGGACACGACAACTGCCTCGGCAATTTTCGGCAGTTTCCGCCGAGCATTTCCTAGCAGGCAACACGGCAAAGGAAACATGGCTTCTCCGAAGAAGCACACTCGCCTCGGCGATAATTTGCCGAAGTTTCGATGTTTTTCCTTGGTATTTTGCATGATTCAAGGAAAGAAAACAACTTGATCACATGAACAAAAGAGAAATACAGCAATGGGAACCTAATGGTCCGTTTTGTTGGGCGGTAATTTCTCATTTGGAGTGAAAATTTACGTGCGTCACATTGTGACCGTGTGGTGTAAAAAATCAGTGATTTTTGGCTCGATCCGAACCAAACACGGCCCGTAATTTACTAAACTTGTCCTTTATGATTTCTAGATGACTATCGGTACCGAAAATACAGGAAAATATTGTTGCAAAATGAGTGAGACGGAGACTAAGGTAAACTTCTTTTATTTGAAGGCTTGATTTTCATTTTCCTGGCAGGCTTCCTTGCATGTAGTGATCATCAGTAACAACAAGTATGGATTTTTGTTCCGGTCCAAAAAACCGGTCCACCGACGTTTCGGTTTTTTTGGACCGGACCGATAAAATTTTTACGGTCAAAACATATTTAAAATAGTGATATTTTGAAGAATTTCAGTTATGCTACAGATTTACAAAGCTATATATATATGATGTAAAAATAGGCATTATTGGTTTCAGAAGGTTGTAATATGGGGGCTTGTGTATTTGCAGAAAGTATTTCCAAATTGCAGGACGAAATTTTGACTCTTCTGCAATATTGCAGAGCACTGAAAAAAAGTATTTCGACCACTGTTATATTCATAGGTTTTAATCAACTGTGTCTGTGTTTGTGTTTCAAAAAGAGCTTGCACAAAATGTGATGCTCTAGCAGTTACTAGTAGGCTAAGCAATCCTCAATTAATCTGAACCATGGACCAACAGTCTATGCTGTTGTCCAGCCATTGGGTTCTGAACTACATGTACAGCCTGCACTATAAAAGTTTCACTGGCAGTCTATTAATTTTGCGTTAAAAAAACATAGCCATACCTTCTTTGAACACAATAAGGACCTAACCACACCTATTGATAAGAGTCATAAAATGGGCTTAGCAAAACACTTGTCCATCCCCGGCTCTAAGCCTGCGCTTAGCAATTCTCCTTGTATGTGGTCATCAGTTGGGTAGCAACAGTGGGTTGGAAGCCAGATGAGTCAAACAGAATCAAAGAGAAAGAGCTTGTGATGAACTAACTCGGCAAACTGCTGAGTCTTTGCAACAGGTTACTGCTGGTTTGAACTGGTTTGAATCCCAGTCAAACACTACTGGTTGGGTTGTAGTTCCTCAGACTGCAACCCACACCTAGCTATATAGGGACAACGTTGACAAAATGTACTGCGCCTGTGCAAAACCCGTAGTGTACTGTGCCTGGCACTTTGGCAGAATGTCTTGTCGGTATTCGTGTATTTAAGGATGACAACCTGTCTGTAGTTTTCAAATGTTGTGTCGGAAACGATATCATCTGCAATGGGCAAAATTCTGATGCAAATTTGACCAAACATCTGACAAAAGCGTGAACAAACCCAGGTTTTGCGCAGGCGCAGTACATTCTGCTTACGTGCTCACCTATAGGTCTGTTGGAACCAATCAGCTTGTACAAAACCAAAATGTTCAAGTCTGAAGTACATGTAATTTACTGCTTTTTGCCATACAATTAATGACGACTGTAACTTTGAATACTGCTTACATTTTATTAATAGTAAGTCATATATAAAACCCAGGAAAGAAAATCACCCAGATATGCATGTATTCTGACCAGGAGTACATGTATTACATAATACATATTCTGGCCAAGAGTACATTCTGGCAGGGGTACTTTCTGGCCAGGGGTACTTTCTGACCTGCTACACCCATGTGATACTAACCTGTCCCTCCTGATACCCAGGGTTGGGCTGACCGGGGTCCGCCATGATGTCTAACTCTTCGTCGCTCGCTAGCAGGTCCTCACAACTCACAGCCTGGCTGTTACCCAGGTGAGCAAACCTACAAACAACACAACACAAAAAACATAAAATATCTGTAAGGGAATACGCCAAAAACCAGTCACTCAAGCAACTGGAGATGATTTTAGAGACAGTCAGACATTTCAGGCAGCATCCACTACCAGTGTCACTGTTTTTTGGCGTATCTTATTACATGTACCTGGATGTCTAAGGTCTAACCTTCACCGACACATAAAGAAATACATTCTGGTTTTGTACGTAAGGCAAAACTGCCAAGAAGACCACTCAGGTGTAAAATCTGGTCTAATTAGACAGGTGGTCACTATAGACAGGATTATATCACTGGAAAAATTGCCTGAGGGGCCACCAAAAAATGGCCAGATGGTTCTTATGTAGGGGAGGTCACTTATACAGACATAACATGATTGTCACTGAAATATGTATATTCTTGGGACAGATATGGTTAAATATTTTTTTGCCCCATTTCCCTATCCATATCCCTGAAAACTTCTTTGATTGTGATCAGTTTAACGTGTTACATGCTCTTTGCTTAAAAAAAAGACCCCCACAAGGCCCATATTTTACCATTGTATAAAGTACAAGTAGCCTGCTAAGTATAATATATTAGGTATAAAGTATAAATAACCTGCTAAAGTGGCCATTTGGCACAAAATTTTCGGGTTCAAGGGTTAGGCAGTGGGAACAAGACTGTCTGCTTTTTGTTTGCATCTTGCTGATGTCTGCAATTCTTGACACCACTGAAAATCATTTACAACTTTTTATGGATACTTTATGGTTTTAAAGTCGATCCAAAAGCTGTAGAGTCTTTGGTGCTTTCTCAAGTAGCTACGTAGTGCAATGTGGCTTTGCGACAGCTTACTTTTTGGTCGGGTTCTTTAACGTGCAAAGGTTTGAAACTTGAGGGCTGCCAGGTTTGCTTCAGCATCCAAAAGGACAAATGCAATCCCTAATATTACAACAATCTGAGCTGGGATTCGAACCCCCTGCCACCGTTCCAAGGATCCATATGGCGAAGCAGCAGGATTCTACTTACTGCCCATGGAGACTGACGTGATAGCATAAAACTCAAAACTTGAACTCACAACTAAACCTCCCAATGGTTAAACATCTATTTCCAACCATATTTTACCACTCTGAGAGCTAGCAGAAGATTTTTTTTGGCCTCTGGACTAACCACCTGTAACTACACTCATCAAGTAGTACTTCTGACTTTTTAAACACTATTTCAAACAAGTGGCGGGCACAGGCAGGCACCCAACCTCCCAGACAAACAACCACACTGATGACTCATCTGACCACAAAAAGATAACAGTGAAAAACTTCCAATTTAAACCACAGATGGCAGACTATGAACTGCCCATGGATGTACACTACTGTTACTTACGACTACGTAAAGTACCATAAAGTGCACCATCCTTACATCAGACTGTTTATCCCATAACACAACCTGCATTTAACCCCAAATGCAGCTACAGAAACAAGTCTACAACATGTTAAAAAAAAAGAAAGAAGGAAATGACATCCACCATTGAGCCTTCTGCCGGACCCAGCCGGGAAACCGGGGTACAAAGTCGGGTGTCGGACGCAGCGAATCCATTTTCCCGTACGTGCTGGGCGCCGTTCCGAACTTCCATGAACAAAGGGCTACGTCAGCACTGCTTTTTAACCCTGCCTGCTTGCATGTACTCTGCACTAGATTTAAGAGGCTCTAAATCATCTAAGTTTGAGATAGGAATGGCGCCGGCGAGGTGGACTTTACCATAGATACACCACGTCTGCCCACCGAGGGGAGGGTCATAAAAAACAACTGATTGCGTCAGTTTTCAGCCAATCGAACGCCTCGCAGACTGTGACAATGGTAACGTTGTGTCAAAAAGTCAACATCGTATCAGGTGGTGCTGCTCTTAGCAATGTTATCACTGTCATTCTGACCTAAAAAATGTACCTGGGCAAACACATTTACAGAGATTAATGTTCACGAGCTTTGTACAGTTTCCTGTTATCTTATTCATGAGTTCATGGGTGGGTCAGTAAGTCGGGGACATTTCAAGGTACAGGTATTGCCCAGGTCATATGCAAATTGACGTAATGGGAAATGACAGTGATTTACCTTGCTAAGATCACTCTATCACAGTCAATACAATCATGTGATGGTGGAAAATATTTGCTAAAGTGAGGTTCTGTTTTACTTTGCTAGCTATTATTGAATGGTTAAAATAATTGTCACACTTTACCATTTAAAAGTATTTTACTTAATATTACTAGTTTTGCACACATCTAAAAGAAGCTTCTACACTTCAATACAACAAGTCTCAAAAGTTCATCAAACCCACAACATCTTTTTTTCTCAAAACCATCGAGCAGGAGGCTTTCTTGGAATTCTTACGACATTTCCCGTCATAAAAGCTGTTTTCCTACTCATCATTTCCTTGATTGCATCATCATACATTCCTAAAAACCTCTCCCTAGCAAACTACTATGTTGAAGTACCATCTAGTAAGAAGCTTTCCGAGAATTCTTAACAACATTTATCTTCATAAAAGCTGTTCGCCATTTCCTTGTTTGCATCATACAGTCATAAAATGCTCCCCCTCGTAAAGTACGTACCAGTACTAGTACCTCCTGCTGCACTTTTGTTAACTCCTGCCAGGAGGCGCTGCTGATACTGGTTCATGCCAGTTTGGACTAGTAGCACTGTACTGTATTTACATAGTGTAGGCTACCTGGCCTGATGTGCTAACAACCTTTGAACATAAACAATGAATCTGAGCAGAAATGACGAAACAATAATAACTAATGGCCAAGTAGCTGAGTAAAGGAAAAATGCAGTAGTCAACAAGTTCCACAGTAGATGTGTCAAAATCCAGTCAAGAAAATACAGTTTAAATATATGTGATCATCACCATCATCATATTGCCCAAGTAGGTCTACTGTGTCAAGTTTCAAAGAAAATTTGGCTAAAAACAAGAATTCAAGAAAACAAAACAATCTTACGAATGAATTTTGAAGTAGCGGGGAACTTCGATCTGACAGAGCTCTTCTTCACTCCTTGCAGTCTTAGCAGTTTGACAACTACAAGCTTTTGATTCTTTTATGAATGGTTCATCCATATCACAATGATAACAACCCTTAGCAGCTTAAAACAACAAAACAAAAGAAACAAATGTTGGCATTACCATTACTATGATTGGTTGATTGATTACTATTTCAACATCAACCTTTTTGTTTTCAAGAGATAATTCCTTACCTTAGTCATGGTTCAGCAGAACTGGCTTGTAAGATACTGTCCTAAGAAGAACAAAAACAATGTAAGTTCTTGAAAAGAATGCAAATGATAAAAGTAACACAACTGCATATTTTGATGTGAGAGGCAGAAGTGATTTCAGGACTGGATTTTGTAGTAACCTCCCTGTCCTTGGTGCTGATTGGTCCTATTCTACAACCTGTAACTTACCTAGTAGGTTTTGATTTGCAGAAAAATCTGAAACAACTCACAACTTTGCAGGCCAAAAGACTACAGACTTATCGTTATGATTCACACTATGAGTCACGAACAGAAAAAATTTTAAAAGCATTTCAAGCCTTGCATGTGATATTGTGGAATTGTCCAAGTTCACATCAGGAAGTGCAAACAAATTCTGAACAAATTACTGAACTTGTATTGATTTAAGAAATCACATTTACAAAAGGTAAACAGACATTTAAAGGTCTTTTCTAAGACATCTAGAGGATACTGAAGTGACTTGAAGGTCAAACGAAGATGTTGCTTGGTTACACTTACAGTTGATACTAGTCTGAATATCCTACCTCATCCGCATGATCAGGAGTTTCTGCTAAATCCAACTGACTCCACAGTGATTCAGTGGAAGATAACGTTAACTAATGACAATGTTACCCACTTCCAAATTAATACTGATTGGTTATACATGTATCAAAAATATGACTGTACATTTATGATTTACAATCAATGAAACAGCATCGAAACAGAAATCAGTTTAAAATCACAGAGGGCAGTCAACAACCAATGATTTTAAAACAACAATTTGTATCTTGATACTGGTAGCTGTTTGTATATCCATTATGTATGTTTATTTAGTTATGTCAACAAAGACAAAATTTTGATTGCATCATAGTAGGTTCTAGAAAGAAATCACAAGATCTACAGAAATTATGATAATCAATGTCAAAGGTGTTTTACGCATTCCTGGGCTAAAATAGCGATAATCATAAGGCCTGCATGCGACAAGAGGGGATTTTTTCCCTATCTATAAACTCTAGACTCATATTTTTGTACAAAGATCGACAGAAAAATCAAGAAAACAACACGTAAACAAAAACAAAATCGAACATGTTCGACTGTCCTTCGTGAACATAAAATGACACTTGGAGCAAATTTTAGTGCTTTCATGACACTTCTGATAAGTCAAAGAGTAAAATGTCATCATATACGAACACATCTGGCGTTCTGGTGTCGTTTTAGTACAGGATTGTCCAGAAATTTTGACATGATCACCTTGATCGGAAGCCGGAAGTGGGGGAGGGGGGCGTGGAGGAATCTTAGCAATTCCACCACAAAAACAACTCCTAACACGATCTACACCATATATTTAGCTTGTGTATACCTTCCGAATAATGTTGTGATCGTTTTAAAGGGACCTACCTTAACACCTGGGTGGTAAATATTTGCGGAAACAACTTTGGCGCGAAGCTCAGGAGCGATCAGAGTTCATGACCTCCTGATCTCGCCCTGAGCGAGATTTCGGGGCGAGATCCGGCGAGAATGACACGTCAGCCATTACGCATGCGTGAAAAGTGTTTTAAAAGTTCCGGGGTTCGGACCAAGTGCCGGTGTTTTGGTGTACAAAAGTGGATTTCTTCCCTCTGGGTGAGTATTCCGACCTGTTTTCCTCAGTATTTGTGAAAATAGATTATTATCTCTTAGCCCTATTCGTAGCTCGCTCATTAGCTAGCGGGAAGTCGGAGAAATACCGACGGTTTCATCGCGTTTCGTGGCGCCGGTCAGATCGCGTGTGCACGATCAAATCAGACGACAAAATCTTGCTCAGCCGGCTGAACATGTCCGTTTCAAACACAGACGTGGAAAATCAATTTCTCTCAATGCCAATGTTTAAACAGGCTAGTACTTGATAAGAACATAATATTTACTCCTTTTAGTGTGTATTTTTATCCACCAAGTGGTCTCAGAGGGCGCATTTTTGCTGGATATTGTGTAAGTTTGTTGACACTCCCACCGTGAAAAATTCGTCTGCAAATAAAGTTGTCAAAACTCGGAGGTAAATTCCTCAGTCTGGCGTTCCGTGTACTTTATCTATCATTCCCGTACCATGATTTCACTGCCTCGGTGACTCTATCGTCCTTTGCTTTTTGCAGATTTATTGGCTTCATAGATATTCGTCCCAAAAATCAATTAAGGACGCTCATTTTATTGACAACAAAATTAATACCGTAATTTGTTCTGGTACAGGAGCGTCATTCATAACCTGTCTACGTGGTAATTAGTCTACGGAAAATTTACTTGTGATCAAGGAAATAAATTTTTCACGAGATAAGCTGGCAAAGTGATATAACGGGACGCCAAGAAAGTAGGTCACCCTTGAAGGCAGGGTGCATAAAATATGTGTGTGCTATTTTAAAACACACATCGACCACTAATAATATTTGACCGTTATTGCCCATCTGATTTTTCAAGAAAAAGCCATTAGAATCTGATTAAAAGGTCTAGATAAGACAATACAAAATGACTTCCTCATATTCATAGTATTAACTGCATGTAGTGTGTAGAAAGATCTATTCACTCAGCACCTATGGCATGCCAAAGGTACAACACATAACAATTTATTTCTCCTGGAAATCTCTAGAGGGGGAAACATATTGTTCTATTCTTGTCTGTGGTCAATGGCCAAGAACGCATTCCCAGTAAGACAGCCCCGGTGAGAGTCGGTATTGAATATGATCATGCTGCTGTGGTATCGAAAGGTGAATTCACGGATAAAGATCGAATTCGCTGTTGCAAACTTCAAGGCCAAGCAATTATGATCGTCTTAATTTTGTAATCTTGACTTTAAGATTGCCATATTACTTGTATCTTCTTCTCTAATATTGATGAATGCATATAAAAGCACCCAGTAGCAGACGACATCTGCATCTTTATCATGGAAATTACTATCAAAACACATAAAATAGAGAGTGGCAGTTTATTGCCTCTGATCCTGCTAATGCATAGAATATGATCGTTTTATGCCCAGTTTATGATGCTGCATCACATTTCAGTGCCCCCATTTAGGATGTCAATTTACAGTCTATTTTTTTCCAATGACAAACAGTGGAAATGGCCAGCTGTAAATAAAGATGTATTCACCTGAGTGAGAATAGGACGTTTACATGTAATTTGATGCCACGTATACAGGGATTAACCTCAAATTATATGTCAGTCTGTCAGAAATGGGGCCTGTCAGCCTTCAGGATAAATGGAAGGTAAAGACTCGTAAATCTCGTATTCCTTTTTTAGTCCTGCAGAATATTTCATGAAAAGGAATAGCTGAGGCTACACAATATTTTCATGAATTGGGTGATCACAAATTTTATGGTCTCTGCACATTTGACTCATTTTGAGCAAAAAGAAAACTGTTGCGGTTGGTTGCTTGAGTAAACGGAAACAAAACATTTCATACTTGGCGTAACACAATTTAAGCTTTGTTTTTCAGGTATGCTGTGGCAGCTGGTTCTACATACAATACAGCTTGTCACACTTGATGAATCTTCAACACACTGTTTCATACCGTAGTACTATCCAATAAAGGGGCTCATGGTCATGCATACTGTAATTCACTTTGTCTTCACGGTAGGAAAATTTCATGTTCATGGTGGTGGCAAATGAAAGGAGGGGTGGGGTCCAATTTTATACATGATTTGATAAGAGCAATGTCAAGTTCACGGTATAGAAATGACAGTGAAAACAATGAACATGAAAGTACATTGTACCATCATGAAGAAAATCAGGAATTATGGTATGCTGTCTTGTTTGTGGGCATTCCATAGCCCTATAGTCTATAGATGTGTCAGACAAATTTACATGTATATTGGAAGCCATCTTCAAGGTGTGATAATGATTATCCGAATGTTATTTTTCTTTGTCCTCTCCAGGAAGATAAGACACTGCAGTTTTTAGCATGGAAATTGCCATCCTGGACCAGTCTCTGAAGAGAATACTGCTGACCATTGCCTGCTGTTTGATACTGCTGTCCATCGTCAATTCTGAGGAAGATTATTACGAACTTTTGGGGGTGGAGAGAGATGCAACCAACAAGGAGATCAGGAGGGCTTTCAAGAAGTTAGCATTGGAGCAACATCCTGACAAAAATCAGGTATACTACTCATCAATCAGTGTGTCATGGATTTGTAATCTCCAAGCATATCCAAGGCGGCATATTGGAAGTTGTCTCTGGTGACTGGATAATGCCTGGCCAATTTGATACTGTCTTTGCGGCCGTAGGATCTGCTTGGAGATTAATGGATTTGTATGTAGCCTAGATGTCAGACCCTAGAGCGACATGATACTCCCTTCGGCTAGGGAAAGTCACAAGCCCCAATCCCAGTGTTAGCACCTTGGGGTCTAATTTATCTCTTGCGTGCGATAGATAATTTGAAGAAGAGTGCCAACTCCAAGAGCAGGGTGTTTTTGGCGCCGTAAAAGAGTCAAGAGGATCTGTAAAAAAGCACTCTCTTCATTCCAGTTACATTATTTGTAGTATTTGTGTGTGTAGAAAGCACCAATATTTCTTTTATTTTCTCTCCACTAGTACTGTCTTACCCTATAACCTATGCAAATCTTGTACAAGAACTCCTGGCTATTCCAAAAAAGCATCATGTTATGACTTTTGACATCCTTTGACTGTGCACAGAACATCTTTAAAAGACTCCTATATATGCCGATGACCTTGGTATTTTAGTTGTATGTAAAGGGCAAGATGGTAAAACATTTCATTGCACTGTGTCTTCCTGAATTTGTATTCCAGTCGTCTGAACAGTAAAAGCTGACATTGAGATTACGGCGTTTCGTAAGACGTGATTTAGTGTTTTAAGTGGCACACCCGACGTGATTTGCCGTGAGAATATACGAGCTACTTTGGCAGAGTGAACGTTGGGATCTTTGCCTGGCACTCGGCTTGAAATGTCCCATTCCTGTCTCTAGGCTATTCTCTATCTAGTATGAATAATTGCTTAGCCCGGGCTGTACCATGTGATTCCTACTACATGTATGTCTCCCCGAATGCAAGTTACAAATGGCTCATCAGATTGCAAGAGCATGAATTTCGCTGACTGTGATTTAGTTATTTGTTTAAAAATTGTAATGTAAGGGACATGACATATCAACAAGGTGCAAAATACATACCTGCACTGGTTCAGGTAAACATTGAATTCTTGCACCAGACAAATTTTACCTGAACATATTGAACTGTTCAAAAACTATCATATTAATGATTATTTCTATATACTTCATACTATTACACAATGTAAGTGGTAACTCACAGTCATTGCAACAAATAGAAATCCACAGACACCTACATGAACCCAGTACATGGACCTGTGCAGGTAAGGCATACATTTTGTGGACATATCAGCAGTATTCTGGGATATATTTATATAACTGCTAACTATCTTGTCAGTGTTATAAGTTACATTGGGGATAACAAGATGCAATAGCTACATTGAATACAGATGTGTTCATGATAAAAGACTAGATTCCTGTACAGTGCTGTAAATCATGCGCTCGTCTCACGTTTCATATTCCCCACAGGTTTTATGGCTTCTGGCAGAGGAGTAGATGTACTTTGATTGGGCCATCTATAACAGTTTTATTTCTGCTACGTGTCACTTTTCACAATTTCAGGACAGTACAGCTTAAGTTAAGGAATAGTACTACACTGAAAATCACATTAAGTAGTGGTTTGATCAATCTAGGTCTTTACATTTTACATTTCCAAAGTTTGATGAATCTGGAGGTAGGGCTATAGGATCAGTCTATTGGTGTTGCTAGCTTCAAATCTTGTTAAGATATACATACATGTCATATACTTACTTACAGTCTCTTTGGGTTTAAGTTCAGTGACCTGAAAAAGCCCCATTCTGGTTCAAAGCCATTTCACTAGTCAGTCTAACTGCTTTGTAGACTGTTAATGCACAAATTTCCCAAGTGACAAAGAAGTCATCTCAGCTAACATTACTCAATAAAATGGTAATTGCAGTTCATGTAGATTAATCTCATGATACACAGTTGTAGCTAAAATAAAAAAAACACAACATCAGTCAGATACGTTGATGAAGGTCGAACTTCTCTAAGACATCCAGGTAAGGCCATGTTGATTTGATTATATGGATGACATCCCCGCGCGCATGAATTTTCGGCCGTTTCCAAAAAAAAAAGTTTTCAACCATACTGTAAATCGTACAAAACAGTTGCAAAATGAGCAAAAATATACCGTAAGTTACAAAAAAATAAATAAAAACTATACCAATGTCGCAGAATGCCAAAATCAAACGAAAAAAGACGAAATTGTAAAGAAATGAACTTGAAGACTAGATAATTCGCCAAACCATATTCTGTCCCATTTGTTCAACCCTCATGACCACGTAGATTTTATAATGAAAACAACTTTTTTTTTTTTTGCAAAACTTTTTTTTTATTCGCACGCGCGCATCAGTTTTGGGGTTCCCGGAGGATGTCATCCATATAATCAAATCAACATGGCCTAATGAGATACACAACAGAATTGTTACTCAAGCAATTGGATAGATTTTGAAAACTGTCAGATGTTTCAAGTAGCATCCACTAAGTACAGTAACTAATGGAATCTGTAGTTGAACAGTTTTATCAGAATGATAAAATTGTTTTTGCTGCTGATTTACCCTTTCTCATTCGACCAGAAATATCACATTATCAGTACATGCATGTTGGATGAACCGACAAAGAATTAGGCCTGCTGCTATGGTGTCCATGTTAACACTTCACAGAACAGCCCTGGCCTCAACAAGTCCCAGCAAGATTGAGTTGGAACCAGTCCAGATTCCCTGGTCTGTTAGTGGCTGATACTGACAGGGATTTCTACCTAGAGGGATGGTTTTAGTTCCGTGATCTTTGTTGACTTTTTGTCTTTGTTTTTAGGGCTACCTACTATCACTCTTAGTCTTACTACTGGCCTGAAGGGCAGAATTTTTGGCAGTATTCTACATGTACATTTGTTTGAGTAGATTGTAAAAAACTCATGAAGATTCAGAACGTCAAAGTGCTGCAATATAAATGGCTTACGGCATTGCCTTGGCTGACTTTTCTCAGATCCCTATCTTTGGCAATTTGCAGAAATGTTATACTGCAGTTGCTCCCTTATCTATCCCACAGAAGTATTGTATAGAAATACATTATGTATATACCGTATCTGCAACTAGTCAGACGCAGACAGCAAAGATCCAGATTTACTGGGCAGGTTGCTTTAGAAGCACAATAGAATTCAATTTCATGTACATGTATGTGGCCTATGGTAAATGGCAAAGGTAAAGGTAAAGGTAGTCCTGAAGCTAGCTTTTTGGGGGTCAAGGGGGCAGTGGGTTGTTAGTCCACTGTGTCTAGGGCAGGGTGTTGGAAGGCGGAGCTCATCATCCCTTTCCTTCCACCTCCCCAGCTGAATTTTTCTATTTTTCTCTCCCTGTCATCAGAAATGTTTTCTCTTTTATTTTCTTACCTGATCTTTAATACAAATTGTCATGGATAGATTGTACTGAACAAAAACAATTGTATACAGATTTTAGGTCAGTTCTTTTCAATGTACTGCCATTTTGTATATTCAGGTCACATCTCTAATAGCCCTGTGCGTATCAACAATGTAGTAGTCAGTATGGACCGCCCATGTGGGATACTCTTGTTGTCTGCCAAGCTATACACAGATAGAATCAACACACACACACACTACATATATCTGACAGCCTGTACAACAGATATCCCTTCCTCCAAGATTGAACGGTGGGATCGGCCAGGGTTTCCCAGGATGGATCCTTTGAGCCGCTTTAAGCCCAGAACTCAGGGTATCGGTTTGTGACCCTTATTACACATTTGTTGGGCCAGGCCCCATTGCAGTAAACTGCTGGAATTGCCTGCTGTCAGATGTGATGTATTCTGCCATGAATAGGTCTGCCGCGGTCCCAGAGCTGCCATTGACTCCTGGTCCTGTTGCTGTTTGAGAGCGTGAGGTGGTGGTTATAATAGCGAGTCCCAATCTCTGGGTGTAGCAGGAAGTGCAGGAGGTGCTTTCAGGAAGGACTGAGTTATTACGTACAAACACGAGCAGAAAGCTAACCAAGAATTTGGAACTAACTGCAAGAACAAACTTCTTGTCTACTAGACTTTTTTGTAGGCTTATTACCGGTACATGCTGTTTTCTGACTATATGTTTTCAGAAAATCGGACACAATCAGAAAATGATAATACAATCAAAAAAGAGCACAATCATTAAGATTAGTGCCCAAAAAGTCCAACTAAGAAGGTACATACTGGTAATAATGACTTTCTCATCATCAAAAGCATTCCTGAACGATGAGGAAAGTGTAATTCTCTCCCCTTTTTTTCAAAATGTTGACTTTTAAAACTGTTATCAAACTTCCTGTATATATTGATGTAGTATATTACAGCAAACATGATATTGCATGAATATTACAGCATATATATATTGATATATTGGCCCTGTTGATGATGCCTTCATTCAGAATGATTTTCCTGATGGACTATCTAATGATACTGTTCCGGCATAGTAAAAGGTTATTTATCATTTTCACCATACACAGGAAATGAATGTCAATGATGTAGTATATCCTGTCTGCAATATAATAACATATCAGACACATTGGCACTACACCAATATTTTATGGATTCAAACGTGCTTCAAAAGTTGCCAATAAGAAATTATTTCATACTGGTAATGAATAAGATGATCATAAAAACTGTACATCATACATTTTATAGTTACTCGAAATATGACATCAATGCAGATTATGACCTGCTAAATCAAATGTTTTAGAAGTTGACTACACATATTTTTATGATTATCATAACTGGGTTTATCAAAACTGAAACATGACAAAAACTTGGTACAATATGTTACAAATTTCACCAACAAGCAGTGTCTAGATTTTAGAAATCGCCCTGATATAAATGTGCATTATTCATTGACAAGCAAAAGCTTTTTACCTTCTTGACACTTTGCATGCAAATGGAGGTGGACCGGTCAATACAGGAGGCAGAAAAATCTTTAACACAGTCATCAAGGCTCTGATGAGTTTGCAGTCATTTCCGCAAGTTCTGCCACATAATAGTGAT